AAAAGGCAAAGGACAATAAGGTGTATTAAAAGACCAACTAAAAAAAGGGAAAATAATGTCAACTCTTGAGGAAGATCAACTGAAAAGAAATTCTCAATAACCAACTTGTTATGAAAGATAAAATAGGAGGTAGGAGTTAATAATAGGCTATAGATCTTTTTCCATCTATATTGAAACTCATAAATAAACATTCTTTATTATTCTCTGGCAACTGCTTAAGGGAGACTCAGATAATCTTTCAGAAACTGGACAAAAGGAATAATAAAAATCCCTTGTATACACAGAATGCCTAATTAGAGGTGGCAACAAATTACATAAGAAATTTGATTTTGATTTAACATCTGTAAACGACAGCTGCCTTTTCACCAAGTTCTCAATGTCATTCCTTTACTAAAAACAATTAACAATAATTACCAAAACAGAATATATTGCAGTAATCCATTTAAGTTTAGTAAATTCTGATTATTTTCAATTATCTTTTCAAAATAAATGATTCAAAAGTCAACAACTCACTTTCCCTGAGAATTTCGCAGGGTATTTTTAAAGTGAATGACTTAATCTCAAAAAGATTATTTGTGTGGGGTTGAGATAAATACTTAAGAAAACTGCACATCTGAAATAAAAAGAGATTTACATAATCATGTTGTAATCAAACACACTCCCTATATAATGAAGCCACACTAGTAAAAGATTTTCTTTCAAATTCAGGTGCCAGTACTGGCTACTCTTGGCCTCACATGTGCAAATGGTCTTGTGACTTTTGGTGCATTAATTAGCCTTAACCAGCATTTCTGGGCACTTGCTCCAGGTGAAGACCCTGGGCTAGCTTTCATCCTGAAGAGGGACACACATATACACTGACTCACAGTAGCTGCTGAGTCTGCAAGGGATCCAGATACTACCTCAGAAGCAGTCTGGCAAGTTGGGATAACTTAGGAAAAGAAAACATGGGCATCTATCTAGGAACAAGAGGATCCAGCAATGGCCCTTTGTCTTGAAGGGAGAACCCCTGAAAGGACTGTCAAGAGAATTTGGTCCCCGACCTGAATGTGACAGGAAGCTAAGGTCTAAAGAAATTGAAAGATCTGCCCAAGATACTTACCCACTTGTGGCAGCACTGGAACTAGAACTTTGGGGTCTTATCTCCTATGCTATATTATTTTCCTGCCTATACTTCTCAGAAGTGATTAAGGAGTAGATCATCCTCCATTTTTTTTCCCTATCCCCAGAGCAGAGCATTTGGAGGATGTTAACATGTTTTCCAATTATGAAACAGATACTCTGGTTGAAGTGATGAGACACCTTCACCAAAGCTTTCCTTTGTTTCAACTGCTCCCAGTCAAGATTGCTTCAGCATGTTTACCCTTTGATCAGACAGTCACCAGCCAGTCAGTCACTACCATGTGTAGAGAAAAACATGCCAAAAGCGCTAAAACTTACTTTGATAAAAATCATAAAAACTAATGTTTTGAACACCAATATTACTTTCACTTACTGAAAGAAGGAAAGCAATATAGGTACTGACTGCATTATGGGGGCTTTATGAATCAGCTTTCTGAGAACAAATTGGGCATTTTAACAAGCCTTTTAAATCACTCACATTCTGCTCTATATGCAAGTCTTCCCTGACTGCTGACTTAGTAATAAAAGTAGAGAAAAACAGAAGTCTAACAATAGCACATTTCTTTTCTGTAACCAAAGACTATTGTGTTGATGCTTATGAAGATGAATTTACTTTGAAAATAATTTCACAGTGAAATGATGTTGCTAAGCACACTGATATTAATTAATTAATCAATTAATTAATTTAAAAAAGAAAGTTCTGTAAAAAGCTCAAGAAGTGAGCAGGCCCTTTTGGACATGAGGGTTTTATATGCTCACTTATGAGTGCACCCACACTTCTTCATTTCGCAAATGCTGTGTATTAGTAAGAGGAGGCAGATTCTGCCAGACACATCATTTGTATATTTAAGGGAAGTGTATGGAATAAAAACAGTGAAATATGTTAAATTGCAAACGACTTGGAAGCAATGCTGTCTGTGAGCTTGTATTACAAATAGCCCTACATTATTACATAGGCTATTAATGAGCCTGAATGAATGAGAGTACAATTTGAATATGCATGACTCTATCCAATGAGCAGGACTTTTGTGTTCTGATGAGGGGTTTTTTTCCCTCCTAAAAAAAGGATTAAAATTATTCTTAGAGAAGTATGGCTTCCCAGAGACCAGTAAAATAAATGCATTTAGACCATTGAGTCACACTATATTCAAATGAAATATACAGGTGCTGAGAGAAAGACTTTGACTCCACCTACAATTTTTGACACTTATACATATCCCGTACTCCCAAAAGAATATTCCTGATCTTCAAGCAGCTGTGTCATTACAATTTCTAAGTAAAAATAATGATTTTTGGTGGCGATCCCTAAAAGTAGGCAACGTTAAATAAACCTTCTGACCACAAAGCCTTCACTTTCATAGTCAGGAGCACTAGTTAAAAGACTAGGGAATGGGTAAATTATTGCACCAAATGGCTGAGAATTAATCTCTGCTGACTAGCTGTAATCTAACGAGGCGTCTGTGTCCCAGGGAGCCCGCAGCATGTCCCTGGCGGTATGTGCAGTGTGTTGAGTCTGCGTGGCACCCTTTGTCCTCGCTCACAGGCGGCCTTTCCCCTCATTGTCCATAATATCCTCATGCATCTGGGACGCGTGGAATGCATTCACACTAACAGACTGACCATTGTTTTCTCCCAGAAGCTTTGTTGAGCAAAGACTGCATCACGGTTACTGATAATTATATTGCTTAATTAATCAAGACAAAAAAAATTTGCAAATCAGTGCCTGGTTGCCAAGCAGGGAGATAAAAAATGACAACAATACAAGCTGAAGCAATATAACAAAAGTAACAGCTATCTGATCAGAAATTCTTATATAATGAAGCTATTAATGCTAAATCGGTTAATGTTAACATTGCTCCAGGTGTCTCTACTTAGATGCAAACAAAAAGGCTAACATTATGGATATAAAAGGCCAAATGTTGCCATGGATTCTGTAACCTGATAGAGAGGACAGCCTTTTCATTTGATTAGGGAATGCAATTTAAATACCAGGGACTGAAGCCAAACAAACAGACTTTCCCTCTACAAGCCTCTTGCATTCACCCTGGGGTCAGTGGTTGGTGAACAAAAGGTCAGCCACACTTGCCCTGGAAATGTCTGGATTAATTTTATTACATTGTAATGGTTTGTACTTTAAATGTAGGGATAACACTAAATTTCCAGTTGGCCATTATTCTCTTCTTCCCTTTAGGCTTCTTGAATTGAAATATTAAGAATGTGATTTGCTCAATTCATCTTGTCAGAATTTATGACCAAATTTATAAAACTTAAGTACATTTTTAAAAGAAATTTTAAAAGGCATGTTAATACTTGTTTTCATGCATTATAAGTGTACTATTTTTTATGTTCTTTATATATTATAGAAAAAAAGGCAACATTTTAAAAATACTGAGTGACATTTTAGAGGTTGGTTGAGAGAATGAACTAATAAAGCCAAATTAATCCATATTAAATATAAAAGAAACATATTTTCCAGTTTTGAAAGCTACCATATTCTAAATTTATTGTCTAATACTAAACTTTTCAGTTTAGCTTTTAAAATTAAAGTAGTGGTCTTTATGGATAAAAAAAAATGTTATTAGCACTAAGAGCATTTTCTTATAAAAAAGCAAAAACTCCACATACACAGAAACCTGAATCAAAGATAATACAAGTACTTAATATGAAAAACTTTTGGCATCTTTGCTCCCTGAATAGAAAAGAGGGTTCCCTTTATGTCAGGCTTCTCGCCAGCCAGAGTGCGACCATTCTGAATTTAGGAGTGACTCAATAATGTATCTAGTTGGAGAAATAATCATGTTAAATGTAAGGTTCATTATTTATTCTATTTTCATGGTAGTAGCTATAACAAAGAAATGGCAATAATAATAATAATAATAATAATAATAACTAAAACTTAAATAGCTTTACACTGGGTCAGAGACTGTTTGAAGCATCTTTCACTTCTTAGCTCATTTAATCCTCCCAACTTTAACACTTTAGGTTATATATCCCAGAAAATTTCAGTTACCTATTATTTTAAAGCTTAAAAGTAGAGAGTATTTAGAATGGTAACTTGTAATTCCTTTAGGAGAATAATTTGGAATATAAATTATTATTCTTAATATCAAGCTTAAAAAACAAGTCATTTTCTTGGAGTGACTTAATACACTAAATGTTTAATTAAAACACTTATAAAACCCCTTCCATTAATGATTCCAAAACAAAGACAAGTCAGCATATAAAGCACTGCTAAAATACGACTGAAGACATGGCAAGGATCAAAACCGCAACCAATTTAGCACATGGCACATAACCATTGGATTGTTCCAGCCATTCCCAAGATCAATACCAATTGACATGGCTGAATTGATTCTATGGCAAGGTGCTTCAACTGTTAAAGGTCATCACACGGGCTGTGCTACAGAAGCCCAGCATCTTCATGGGCATGCCCATGATCCTTCAGGGCTGACTCCTGCCAGCAGCAGTTGGGGGCTCGATAAACAGTGCCTGTCCACCATGCAAGGTTGAATTCTATAACCACAGCCATCCACAAAATGCTAGATGTGATATGGGGTTCATTTAAGTCTTTTACTAATCAAAAATGCCCCAAATTTAAATTGTAATTTTTTTAATCACAAAATTTAAAAATTTGAAACATTTTTAAAATCACATTTTCAAAGAGGTTAAGTAATAACATATGAAACTCTGTGCTCATGATGAAAGATTCTTTGAAAATCCCAATTCATATTTAATTCCTATAGCATGTGTAATTCAGATATATGTAAGACATGACTTGGAAAAAAATCCCCTTGTACATATTTATATTATTGTTTCTTTAGTAACAGTGAATCATACGGCAAATGCTGCATGAGTCAATCAATAATGTGAAAATGTACCTCTGGTTTCTTCCTTATCGTGATAAAGAACATGTGATTCTTTATTGGGTAAATAATGATTGAAACGTCTCCAAAGGCAGTTGGGATAATACCCCTGCGGTAATCCCTGGAGTGTTCAGACCAGACGATGTGGACCTCGTCATTCCCCAAGTGGCGAAGCTGCAATGGCAAATTGACTCTTTATTAATCAGAGTAATAACAAGCAGTTTATTAGGGGTCGTGGCTTACAAATTGAATTATAATACTCAGAGGCAAAAATATTTTACTACCAAAAAGGGCTACAATACCAATGTCCTCTATGAGAGTTTGAAAGAGCAAAAGGGCATGAAAACACAGCTCTCCTTCGATGAAACACACTGGTATTAAGATGATGCACACAAGCATCATATTATGGCTGGATGGGGACAAGAGTTTTTCAAGGAATTTTTTTAAATTAAATTTTACTCCTGCATCAAAGCCTTATGCTTTCTATTGCTGAGCATGTTTGTAAACAATTAACGACATGAGTCTTTTATTCCATATTATTTGTAGAGCTTCATTTAATGGTTACTAAGAAAAAAAGAATATAAATGTAAGAGAATGTAGCCATTATACCACAACTGTTACCAAATGAATAAAAACTGAACTTGTGATAAACCTTTAAGAAGTGTGTATAAAATTAATTTTGCTCAAGAAACTAATAAGTAATTTAAAAGAAACTAACAAATATTACTTAAATGTAGTAAGAACACTAATACCTAGCATTTAAAGAGTACCTTACTCTATAGAAATTATGTTCATACATATTGTTTTGTTTAGTCTTTATATCATCTAACAAGGAGGCAACGGGGCTCTGGAAGGCGAGGGCATCATCTACCCAAGGTGCATGAACAGTGGGTGGCAGAGCAGCCCTGAAAACCTGGGCTGGGCTCCTCATTCAGTGCCATTTCTGCTTTTCACAGCTATCTAGGCCTATACCAAAGGTTACTTGTGTTGTCGTAGCTCAAATAGTTTAGCCCACTTGTTTATCATTTTATACAAAGAGAGGCCATAAAATTTAAAAACAAGTCAGAGTCCCCTGGCCTTTCTGAGGGGCTTTCACATCCTTCCAAGGAAAGGATCTTTGAGAGTTCTAGGACTTTGCTCTGTCAGATGCAAGGACACCTGTGATAAAACTCTGACACGATGACTGCACTTCCTGGACCAGAGAAAATAGCATATGAAATCATCTGAGTAAGCCTGAAACTGTGATTAAAAGAAACCAGGTTATAGTCATTAAAATGCTGGCCAAAATTGAATTTGTAAAACCATAAAGGCTGACTGGTAAAGGCCCTTTGACACCTATCGAAAATTTGAGATTTTAGTCTTCTCACACACTACAGAAGGCCATTGTCTACCACCATGAAAACACCTGTCCTGCTTCCTAGACTATTTAATAGAAGAATCCTAAAAGTGACTAAAATGAGAGGTACTCAAATGTTTTCTCAAAGCTAATGTATTAGTTTTGTCTTAAAATATTAAAAACGGATTCTTTGGGGTACTATTTAAATCACAAAGGGAAAATCCAAAGTGACCCTCACATGGCCTCCTTTCATTTGTAAGATTACAAAGGGAGTTGGTCTGTTACAATGCCTTCTTATTCTTTACTCTCATAATTCTGGGAACAATTGTATAAGTCAAATTTTAAGAAAGAGGTTTGTAACTTTACCTTTCTATCTATAGTGATGGGCACACAATTTCATTGTGTTAGAATATGGGTTCTTGGATAAATGCAAGTGTGGGTGCTGAGCATAAGTCATGATATCCAGAATAATGTAATGGCATCTACAAATTTCTAATGCAAAATTATTCACTATATCTTTTATTTTCTCTTCTCCATCCCACCCCCACATATAAAGGCTAAAAGGGTAGCAGGCAATCCATTACATAGTTAGAAAAAAAACAGTGGTTTCTCACAGTAACTGAACACCTCTATTTCTCTATTTCCGCCATAGAAGCTAAAATATTTCTTTCTTTTCTTTTTCCCTTTTTCATAAAATGTTCAAAGACCTTATAATACACTCCTACAATGCAATCCTTCTGGAAGGAAAACATGGTAGCCAGCATTGCCAGCAGCACAATAAAGGCATTTTCAAGGGAAATACGAATGGTACCAAGTTGAAACTTCGGGAAGAAATTAGATCAGCAGGAGGTAATTGTGAGAGCTGGGGTTCCCCAGAACTCATATCAATACTCCTCATCCCACAAATAGAGCCAGCTTTCCAGGTAGTTTTGTGTCCTTTAATATAATGCTGGCACAAATGTCTTAACAGTATCAACCCACCTACTAAATGCCTTTCAAATGTGGGGCTGCCATCTAATGCCAGTACCCTCTGTGTGACCTTTCCTGTCAATCCAGAAGTATATGTAGCAAGGCATTAGCTCAGAGGTAATACAATGATTATTGAAATTCTGCAGTTACTCTCCTTTTTCTAAATTAGGTTGCTCAATTGTATAACCCAAGTAAATCTCTCCAAATTCTGTTTGCAATTGTATTCTCAGAAATATAAGTAAGGGAGAAAAGTATCATACCAAGAGACACATTCTCCCACTGTGGCAATTCTATTATTAAGGAAGAGCCACTTTTGTGTGGTAATAATACAATATTCATCACCTCAAAGACGCCTTTAATGGTACGTACATCAGATCTCCAGACACATCACAGTTTAACTAGCTAACTCACAAAACTAAGAGCTAAGGCCACAGAACCAATTGGCTGATAAATCTGGAGCAAAGAGCAGAAACACACTCAGTTTTGTCAAGGACAATACACATAGGTAAAATGAACAAATTAACCTGGAAACTTCAAAGTGCTGCTCAATTTAAAGAGGACTTCATTACAGAGATGTCGTTTTGTGAGTTTTGAAAATTTTGGATTAGAGGCCCTTAATTCAGAGATTCATCAGTGAGTTCTGTGCACACAAGTTCGTGTGTAATCTGGGAGGAGACAGAGGATTCTCATCCTATAATATAGCTGTCAATTCATACCAACTACTACTTTACCTGCACAACAGGCTCAGAACAAATGCTTAGTTCTTAAGTTTTAAGAAATAAAGGGCATGTCCTGCCACTTCTTGTCCTGACAGAGTTTTAAAGTCCCTCTGCCTGGGCCATTCTGCCTGCTGCTGCCAGGCAGCATGCACTGGTGACACTGGTCATGGTATACACCTAACAGGCTGACCTCCTTTCTCAACTAATTGCATTACATCGCCAGCTGGCTCCAGAAGTAGTCGTCTGTTTGATTGAAGAATTCCTGCTCCTCAGTGGGCCTGACTGCTACTTTTACCAAGTAACAGTCAGGCCTGACATCCCCATTGTTCAGCTGACAGTGTGCCCATCCTAAAATCTAAGTTTTATTTGTAAATTAACCAAGAAACTTCCTGCCAGAAGAGTGCTGCCTGGAGACTGATAATGTGGGCCTTTCATCCCTTTTCACTTGTACTGTATCACTGCCAATTTGTTTTTTTATGTGGCTGGCCAGCCTGAGGCTATAAAAGCCTTGTAAGACATAAGTGCAATTATATTCCTGGAGTCAAATGAATTGGACAAATCCAATAGCACAGCTCTGTCTCCACTCTGCAAACCCCTACAGCAGTTAGATTAGCTGTGAAAAATCTAATCTAGCTAGAGCTAACAAATTTCTGTAGTGAAGGATCAAGAGTTCAGTATGGGGTTGAAATCAAATTGCAGAATTGAAAAACTGCCTCCATGACAGGGGTAGAAGAGAGCATGAATCACTTTAGAATTTTGCAGCTCATTTTTAAGCTGTTAGAAACAATTTAGTTAGAATAAGACAAGAAACTGTAGGCTGCTATTACTGTGACTGATTTTTAGTCTAGCTGTGAGACATCCTGATAAAGAGAGTTTGCCGCTAATGATGCTAAATCTTGGAGCTGCAAAAGGTATCAGCTGAATTTTGATTATTACAGTAGGGAATCTTTCAGGCAGGCTGAGCCTTGGAACATTATTTATCACATGATGCTTTATGAAGAAAACACTAAGTCTTTTCTCAAAAAAGACAATCCTACTTTACTTAGGAAATAATTTTTATAAATAATTTATATATAAATCTCTCTTTTAACAAAATAGTTCTCAGTCATAAAGTCATAGACTCTGGTGATACATTTGCAAAGGAGCAGCAATTACATGGTACTGCAGATAAAATGAATGTGTAAGCCCTGCCTGAGATCTTGGTAATCTGATATAGATTCTCTGAGGGCAGGGTCCCCTTCACTAAAAATACCACAGCCAGGGCAGCCATCCAAACCTAAGACATGGAGGCAGTTCTTCCACATCTGTGGGAGCCAGCTCATGGCCAGCGGGAGGCCATGCTAGCACGCGGGCCAGGGAGTGAAAATCAACCATGCTTTGAGTATCCTAGACACTTTGTCACTGTATGTGTTGTCTGTGAACAGAGTTTGGAGGTCTCATAAGCAGACTCACTGCCAGCCACCATGAACATGGTCCATAGACCTGTAGCTGTAGTAGTGAAAAAGCAAAACTGGAGAGGAAAAAATAAAGCAGATGCAGTAAGGCCCATCATCCAATATCAATCATCTGCCTAATGGGGCAGAGGAATAAAAGACTCAATTAGACCAATAGGTGTGCAATGACAAGAGCTGATGGTTAGAAATCTTACCAGGCACTGTGCTACGCAATTTTGCAAGTATAATCCATTTACTTCACAACAACCTTGTGACACAGGTTGTGTTTTCAATGTCATTTAACAGATGGGAATACTGAGGCACAAGCTGGTAAAGTACCTGGATACACACTTGAGCCCAGGTCTGTCTGCCTTCAGACTGTTGCTACCACTCTAAACCCTCCATTCCAAAGGGCCAGCGTTAGTCAGCATCTGTTTTGCAACCCACCCAGGTGCTGTCCTTGTATCCATGTAGGAACAGAGTGGGTGTGAGGTAGAATTCCAGGTTCTGCAGCTCACTAACAGGCTAGTCAAAGTTCTTCTCATCTGGAAACTCACAAGAATGGGTCATATTTTTAGGCTTCCTTACCAGATTAAAATTCCTGTTCCATTCAGGTGTTCCTCACTTCTAATAGAAGGTCACCTGAGTAGAACATCCAGCAGATTGGAAAGTACAGGGCATGTTCCTCTGGGGAAGAGGGGTGAGTTTCCTCAGGTGTGAAGAAGGTTTCCTTTGAATTCTAGAGAAAGCTGCCCACAGGGCCAACTTGAAGGAGAATACAAGGTCAGTGCCAAAGGTGGGACAACTGGACAACAACACACCTGCACTTATCATTTTGACAGATGTTGCCAAATTAACCCATAGCAAGCCTAAGAGGTACCTGTTCTCTTGGATCTATACAAGTACAGGGTCATTATATCTTATGACCTTTGCCAACCTGAAAGGTCAACAGCATTACTTTCTATCATTTAGTAGTCATGTGACTAAAAATCCAGAAGTATTTACATTTAAGATCCTACCTTTTCCTAACTCTCAATTTCAGGATTTAAGACTCAAATGACTGCTTTTCACATATTTCTTTATCTAGTTTGTGAGTGCTAGATATTTCAGATTAACTACAACTGTACTTTGAAATGAGTGATGCTAAGGTTGAATCCAGAGTTAACTAGGCTCAATGCATGTTATGCCATGACCTTTGTTCAGTTCTAGGAAAGCCTCACCTACAAACCAGGGCCCCTTACCTTTTTGGTGAGTGAATCATCTGAGTCTGATGGCATCCGAGTGGAAACGTGGAAAATCACTTCCACAGTCGAGGTAGCATAATAAGGAGCGGTTTGTCCTGTGCTGCCGTTGCGCTGAAGTCCACCCATGAACCCACAGTGGGTTGAGAGATCTACCTGATACAGGTCACAAAGAGGGAAAAGAATCAAGGTAAAGTATTAGTTGTTCTTATTCACTAAGCAGAAATGTGGATTTTCAAAATGTCTAGTTATGTTCATTTCTATAGCTTTCTGATAAAAACAAATGTAATATAAAGTTAGACAAAATTAAAATATTTAAAAAAAAACAATGAAAATATTCCATAATTTTACCAACTATTACAAATTAGCCATACATTTTTCTAACTTTTTTCTTCCTGGATATGTGTGTGTGTGTGTATATATACACATATGTATGTATATATATTATATATATGTATACATGCATATATATGTATGTATATGTATGTGTGTGTACACACACACACACACACACACACACACACACACACACACACAGTTTCCATACTGATGGTTTTACGGAGTTTTCTGCTGATGAAACCAGAGGAGCGTTAAAAGCAATGTTCCTGTAGGATGTTGGGTCAAAGGGTACAGATTTTACAAAATTTAACAGCCATTGCAAAACAGCCTTTTAAAAGCATTGTTCTAATTTACACCACTGCCAAAAGTCTATGAGTCATAATTCTCTTAAAGCTATGGTATGAATGTTTACTTCTTAGTACCTAGGTCTGCTTGTAAAATTTTCTTAAACTGCTATTCTTTCAGTAAAGCAACTATTCAAACATAATTAAAAAAAAGAAAAATCTCTGCTGTGACAAATACATTCAATATATACACTGAATTATTAATTTTCTGGTCTTTTGTTAAAACTCTAGTTAAGAAATTATTTTTTTAGATCATCAGAGGCAGATCCAGAACGAAAAAACAGCAGCAGTCTCCTACCATAGAAGTTCCCACCACAAAGTCGGGAAATCAAGACGGATCAATTTAAGAAGCAGAAGCAAAAAAGAAAAGTCTCACAAATAATGGGAAGACAAAGAAACACTCCCCACTCGAAGGGAAAGGAGAAATCCCCAGAAAGAGAACTAAATGAAATAGAGTCAAGTAAACTATCAGATACTGAGATCCAAACAACGGTTCTAAGGAAGCTCAATGAGCTCAGTGAGCTCAGAGAGAATTACCAAAAACTACAGAGAAACTACAAGGAACTTACTGCAAACTATCTCAGCATGAAAAAGGACACAGAAACTATCAACAAGAGGCAAGAGAAAATGAAGAATACAACTTCTGAATTGAAGATCACAGTAGAAGGAATCAAAAGCAGGCAAGATGAAGCAGAGGAACGAATCAGCAAGCTGGAGGATACGGTAGAAAAAAGCTCCCAGAAAGAGCGACAAAATGCAAAAAGGCTCCAAAAGAATGAAGAGGCATTTAGGGAAATGCAGGAGAACCTGAAACGTAATAATATCTGTATAATAGGGATACCAGAAGGAGAAGAGGATGAGGAAGGGATAGAGAACCTGTTTGAAAAAGTAATGATAGAAATCTTCTCTACTTTGAGGAGAGAAAAAGTCACACAAGTCCAGGAAGCACAGAGGGTCCCATTCAAGAGGAACCCAATGAGGCCCACTCCAAGACACGTCATCATTAAAATGGCAAATATCAAAGACAAACAGAGAATCCTAAAGGCAGTAAGGGAGAAACAGGTAGTAACATACAAGGGCAGTCCCTTGTATGCGGCTAGCAGCTGACTTCTCAACAGAAACACTACAAGCCAGAAGGGAATGGCAAGAAATAATTCCAAGTCATGAAAAGCAAAGGCCTGCCGCCAAGACTGTTCTACCCAGAGAGGCTCTCAATCAAAACGGAAGGAGAAATAAGGAGTTTCCCAGACAAAACAAGGCTAAAAGAATACACCTCCACCAAACCAGCACTGCAAGATATGCTAAAGGGACTGATTTAAGAAGATGAAGAAAGAGTCTATGAATACCCAGTTCCTTTTGCAGTTACCAATACTTGATATTACCAATATTTTTAATACTTATTAATCTGATTGTGACAATGATGTGTTATTTTAGTTGCTACTTTATTATTTGTTGAAACTAAACCTGTTTTTGTATATTTCTTGCCTATTCCTATTATTTTTAAAGAGCTTTAAATGACTTTGGTATTCTGTATCCATTGTTTGATTAAATGTAGAATTTTTTCCCTAAAAACAAAAAACAAAAATTACTTTTTGGTATCCTTTATCCATTTTTGATTAAATATACAATTTTTCCCTAAAAAGAAAAAAACAAAAAAAAGGCTATTAACCCTTTTTTTAGATGTGTTGCAAATACTCTCCTATTCTATTACTTGTCTCTTAACTTTTTTAATATGTATATTACTGTACAGTCTTAAATGTTTAATATAGTCATATTGTCAATATTATAGTTTATAGCTTCTGGGTTTGAATATTTCACTTCAGGTTAAGAAAAATATTATTTTGCATTTTCTCCTAAAACGCCTTAGGTTTTACATATTGATTTCTAACTCACCTGAATATTTTTCTGCGTAAAGTGTGAAACGGGGCTCTATATTTGTTTTATTTCAGGTAATAGTGGTCCATGCACCTTATTTGTTGAATAAGCCTTATTTTCCCCATTGACTTGAAATATCAGTTTAATCATATATTCCATTGTTAGCCAGATATATACGTTTGTTTCTAGAATGCTCATTTTATTTCCTTGATGTACCTGATTATTTATGTGCTGGTGTCATGTTGTTTTAATTGCTGAGACTTTATAATGGATTTAAATTTTTTAGTATTTTATAATGGATTCTGACATTTAAAAAATAAATAAATAAATAAAATCTGCATTTTTTTTAAAAAAAAGAAAGAATGAATGAACTCCTACCTTTTGCAACAGCATGGATGGAACTGGAGAATATTATGCTAAGTGAAATAAGTCAGTTGGTGAAAAACAAATACCACATGATCTCACCAATAAGTGGAATCAAGTCAACAAAATAAACTAACGAATAAAATAAAGCACTAGCATGGAATTATGAAGCGGACTGAAAGTGACCAGAGGTGATGGGGAAGGAGGACAGTGGTGGAAAGGAGAAGGGACTAAAGAAAGAACATGTATGAATGACCCATGGACATGCACAACAGTGTGCGAATTGACTGTGGGAGCAGGGGTGGGGGTGGGATGGGTGGAGGAGGGCACAGGCGTAAAAACTGAGACAACTGTAATAGAATAAACATGATTTAAAAAATAAATTAAAAAAGACATTAAAAAAAGAACAAGAAGAAAAAAAATCTAAAATCATGAGGAGAGTGCAGGTAGTCTGTGGGACAACTTCAAGCTTTCCAATATTTTTATCATAGGGGTGCCAGAATGAGAAGAGAAAGAGCAAGAAATTTGAAATTTGATAAAATAATGATAGAAAACATCCCTAATTTGGTAAAGGAAATAGACATACAAGTCTAGGAAGCGCAGAGAGTCCCAAACAAGATGGATACAAAGAGTTGCACTCCAGGACACAGTAGAATTAAAGTGCCAACGGTTAAAAATAAAGAGAGGTTCTTAAAAGCAGTTAGATACCTACAAGGGAGTTCCCGTAAGACTTCCATCTGATATCTCAAAAGAAACTATTCACGCTAGAAGGGATTGGCAATAAACATTTAAAGTCATGAAAAGCAGGGATATATGGCCAAGATTGCTCTACCCAGCAAAGACATTACTTAGAATCAAAGGACAGATACCTTCCCAGAAAAGAAAAAAACTAAAGTTGTTCATCCTCACCAAATCATTATTATATGAAATATTAAAGGGACTTATTTAAGAAAAAGAAAAGAATCAAAACTATGGACAATAAAATGGCAATAAATACATATCTATGAACAACTGAATCTAAAAATCAAACTAAGCAAAGAAGAAGGACAGAGAGAGAATCATGGAGACAGAGAGCATTTTGATGTTTGCCAGATGTGAGATGGTTATGGGGGAATGAGTGAAGAGGTAAGGAGATTAAGAAGTACAAGTAAGTAGTTACAAAATAGTCATGGGGATGTAAAGTACAGTTACAGGAAATGCCATAGCCAAAGAATATAGATGCATGACCCATAGACATGAACAATGGTGGGGTGACTGCCTAAGGGAGTGGGGGATGCTAGGTGGAAGAAGGTGGGGGAGGGGTAGAAATTGGGTCAACTATAATAGCATAATCAATAAAATATAAAAAAAATTTTCAAAAATCTATTCGTTAATAAGTATTTTGCATGACAAAGATGTAATCTTATTAGTAAAAAGAACAATTATTTATTAGAAGTGTAATAATTCTTTTAGACCAAGATCTACTTGACCTTTTAGAAAGTACACGATCTTGACCTTGAAGTACTCTTACCCTGTCCCCACCTCTACAGCAGTCCCCTTGTTAACCTCAATTCTTAGAAACAAGTCTCTCTTATACATGCAGAGAGTTTCTTACAGCACAGATAAGCAAGAAACCAAAACAAAGGTAGTAAGGAGAAAAATGATTTCAGATATGCTGATTTTCATTTTAATTACTCTGAATTCTTTTAGATTCTGGGAATATATTTTTCTTTAGATTGTGTTTCTGGAGACAGATATATGCATATGCACATATATGTAAAAAGGTATATATGCCCGTCTGTCAGAGTTTCATGTAGCAAAAAACAAAAGCAAATTTTTTCATTATTAGTTATCCTGAAATCTATCCTAGAAAAACAGGATGAAAGCTAAACCATCATGGCTACTATATTCTATTTTCATTACAACTTTTCACTTCAATTCTTTCCTCATCTTTTCACCCATCATGTTACTGATTTCGTCTCCTTTCTCCATCATGTCGCCAAAGCCATTGCTTTTCTGCCTGTATTTGCCTTCTCTTACTACAAACTGTCTATGGCTGGGTAAAATGATGTGAGCTGATCTGACCTGATCTGACTATTCATTCAATTCTAATAAAGAGCAAATGAGGCCCTGGCTGGTGTGGCTCAGTGGATTGAGTGCCAGACAGTGAAGCAAAAGGTTGCTGGTTCAATTCCCAATCACAGCACATGCTGGGTTGCAGGCCAGGTACACAATAGTGGGTGCATGATAGGCAACCACACATTGATGTTTCTCTCCCTCTCTCTCTCAAAGTAAATTAATAAAATCTTAAAAAAAAGAGCAAGTGAAATAATGTTAAGAGGAAAGTTATGGTGAAACAAAAAGTTCACATATGAAGTACTAAAGAATTAATAGAAGATGTTAAGTTCAATACATTCTTTAACTTCAGAATGCTACTCATGCTATAGTTGAATGTAAAAACATATATAATCAATATCTAATTTACATACATCTTTAAATAGTGCTGGTCAACAAATACCTATTAAATGAAATGAATTACCTCCCATCCAAGTCCAGCAACGAAGTCTTCATATGCTTGACTTCCTTTGTCATTGGAGAGGATCGAACACTTGTCTTCCTGACCTTCAGCAATGTAAAACACTGCAATTTTATGTGTTTCACGGCTACAAATTTTTAAATTTAAAGGAGTGAGAATTCTTATATATAAAATTTTATTTTACTACTACCACCAGCATGACTCCTACTATAGATCTTACTATATTTACTAAGAAATTACTAGGGGTCAGTCACAGTTCTAGAAAAGTTGCACAAACAATCTCATTTACTCTTTGCAACAACCCTAATGACATAAGTATTATCATCATCACCTCCAGTGTAGAGGTGGTTGAAAGGAGATACAGAAAGTTTTTAAAAAGCACACACACTAAGCAGGAGACTGGGAAATGAAGCAAGGAAGTCTAGTTCTTGAGATCACTCTCTAAAGATATATGACATACTTAACAGCAAGTTACAACACATAGACAAGTTCTCTACTTTTTGCAAAAAAATATATTTGAAAGAATTTTAAACAGACATAAGTTGTGAGTAGATCCATGTTACCACCCATATTTCATTATTTCTAAACTCTGAGCTAGGGATACTGGGCAGTTTCGGGATTGGAACTGTAGAACACAGCTCTCAAAACCTTATGTGAAACAGAAATTTCTTCTAACGAGAACACACTTAGATACTTTCTTTGTGAGGGGGTATACCCACTTGTGCTCTGACTAATCTGAGGGTACCTAGTAGGGTGAATAGCTGTACAGGGAAACCTCTTTGGCCATATAAACCCTTCATCTGCTTTTTCCATGATGGGTTTTGGGCATATTACTATTAAATCCAGTAAACATTATATGTGCATTGAGGAAAGGTGCCCAGTTAAATCTCTGGTGAACTGACCAGAGATATGATAATATATTTAAATGTATTAGTGACCAATTTCTACAAATTATACTCTGAAGTGTCAAAATAACTGGGCCTACACCAAGCAACTTGATGATAGTTTAGAGATAAAAACATGGTTCTCATTGAAACAGAGGTTTAATCAAGAACTGCTCATTCCATAGCCTCTCATCATCTAAGAGTTTTACTCTAGTTTTTATCTTCTAAAATTTTGGATTACTGCTTCCATAGTAGTTCCATCTCTCTCCTTATTTTTGCTTTGCATTCTGAAAAATCTCACAGAAAAAAACTATTAAGTGTTTCAACAGTATGAATATGTTTCTGTTGTCTAACTGTTTAATATCTTAACACTCTAATCTGGTTAGACATCCATATTGGTGGAATTTGGGCTCCATATTTTATTCTCAAGGACATTCTCAAGCATGTCATTCTCAAGTTCTTTTATTTTTATTTTTTGTTTTTTTACTAATAAGCAGACTGAATTAAAACTCAACCAGAAAGTCATATAAATAAATGGAGAGCAGTACTCTCCTATTTATCCATATAGCTTATTCATTTCCACCACCATAGTTTACATGTAATAAACATACAAGGAAAACCACAAAATTTTACAAAAAATTACAAAAATTTGTTATCTGAAATATATAAGCAAAGAATATAATGGTTACCATTTTTGTACACAAAAAATGAGCAGCTACTATATTCTATTTTGCAACTGATTTTTTTCACTTAAAATATTTATAAACATTTTATTGTATAAAATATACATTTTTACATACAATTCTCTATTTGAATCATTTTTGAGTGTGAACACTTTAATACTATGTGCTTCTATAACCAAGTTATTTAATGGTTCTATAACATTCCATTATATTAATATACCATATACCAGATCCTCATTACAGGATATTTAGGTTGCTTCCATTTTTAAAGACATTTTCCCATTGTCTTTGATATGGCCTTAAAATAAATTCATAGAAATGGAATCTTGAACCCTGTCCATTATTAAGCATTTGATGTACGGTGTCCTGCTGCCACTGGAGGAGGTGGACAATCTGAACGCCCTAACTGGTGTGGCATGAGCACACTCTTGGGGGTGCCTCTCTTAATGAGAACAGGTGTTATGAAGAGAAGTGAATTTTTGTGGGGATAGATCTCTGGGGCTCAGTGCTTTAGTAGAGACCTTGTGCTCCCAGGCTGTCAGTAAGTGTGTCCTCATGCAGTATGAAGTTCTGAAAGGTGACATCATTTAGTCCCTCAGTGACTAGTAGGGTACACATGCAGTGTCTAGAATCTGACTGGCTTATTTTTAGAGTTTATAACAATTTGGGGGCTCAGATGATACTAGAGATCATAACCATAATCTAAAAGACTGTCTCTTTCAACAAAGAAAAAAGTGTAGTTACTTAATTTCTTTTGGCAGTTCTCTCTATATATTTAAAAATGCTCAGTATTTAATTTTTCTCTATTCTATGTACTTTGCATACATAAAAACAATCTTAAATTTACCTGATGTTTTTGTTTATTCTCCTTAAAGTCCAAACTTCTTACATTGTAGCTGCTCACAGATCCTTGAGCCCTCATTAACTAAATGTGGGCGCACAAGGGAGGTAAGCCCCAATGACTGCCTTACTGATGTAGGTGTAAGGAAAGGTGAACTTTAGCTGTGAACATTCATCAAATTTCACATCCTCTAAAATGTTAGCACCACAGAGAGCATGCTAGGATGCAGATGCTTGGCTTTTGAGAGCCAGGCTTTTGAAATGATAATTAGCAACATCAACAGCACTTCGTATCCAAAAGCTTGCAGGACCCATGCATGAAGGAGCAGGTAATTCAGGAACACACATACATACTATTACCCATTTCCTCTTCTTCATTAGAATGCATTTCTCTTTCTTATTAGGAATAGACCAGAATAGCTAGCTTGGTTTCCCTATGCTGTCACGTTAAAAAGCCAAACAAAGAAGAAACAATTGTAACTTTCACCTTACCATGTGGTGACAAGAGGCATTAATATTTAAAAGAGGAACTCGCTGTAATCTCTATGTACAGCCATCACCCTTATTTACATCTTTGCTAACCTCACAGTATATAAATGATAGTTGCAAGATAGCGTCTACTTTTCTTAAGAACGTGCTAAGCAAGAACTGTACCTTGACAGCAGGGAGAGAAACTGATAACAGAAATAAATAGAAACATCTGAACCGAAAGTTGAGGAATAAGAACTGTTATCTGCTAACTGACCAATAAACAGCACAGTCTAGATTTTTCATAGCTGAAGAGTACTGACTTATTTCCACCTAAAACAAACATACAAACAAACAAACAAAACCCTTGAAAACATCCTTTACCATAAAATAACTTGATACCTTTTTAGATGTCAAAAAGACACCAGGAGTTGGGGTTTTAGACAGAGGTTAATGAAGGGGCAGAGGATTTGCCAGTCAGCTCTCCCAAACCATATTTTACTGCAACAGCACTCCAGGGAGCTAATTCAATTGTACTTCATGCAACTGAAGTGCATTAACACTCACAATTACAAGATACCCATGTATTCACTTAATACTAAGAAGCATGAAGTAATTCAGCATATGCCTGAAAAGCTAAGTTTGGAACCAACATGACTGCTTATTTAATACTGGAGGACAACAGAGAGAAGGAAGTGAATCCCTAAATCCCTCAGAAGAAGTCCCTCACAGAATTTCCAAGAGAATTCAGTCTCTCTTCCTCTAGGGGAAAAGAAGCACAATTGGGAAACTGAATATGATGAGCGGCAACATGAGGAATAATGGCTTCAGGTTTTTCATCTCTAATGAGAGGTATAATGATATTCTTAAAGGGAGTAAAAGAGGAACAAAAGATATTTTTTTAAATGAATGTTTTAAAAACTAAAGATTAAGGAGCAGTTTGTTCAAGATTTTTGAGTATCTGTTATGTACCAAGATTTATACTTACTTCACTGTGATGTTTTTTGGAAGCACCCATTTCTCCGAATCAAAAACTGGCTGCGAGCTCATTTTTAGAAAGGCCTCTAAGATTGTATGAAAATGGGGGAGAACTGAGATTTGACCAGCTTTGGAAAATGAGGTTTACTATTAGGAAGTTACTAATGACAACAAACTGATTTTAACCTTGCCAACACTGTAGAGCAGAAACTGCAGAATGCCAGTGTGTCAGCATAGAGCATGGGGTAAGAAGTTAGACTCACTTGCTTCAAGCAACACAATGTGAGGACACAGGCAAGATGTTTGGCCTAGGTAAGGAACTCTTCCTCATCAGAAGGAGAGATAGCTTCAGAGATTAAATGAGAATAAATGTCCACTGGCTACCACATGAAATGCACAGATTTTAGGTGGGAACACTGACCTCTTCTTAGTGTAGCAAGCATGTGAACTTATTCCTCAAGGGTAAAAATACCAAAAGAATCTAGTGACATGTACAAATGCCACTAGATTCTGTGTTACAGAACTACTCTTGGATGTTCCTGCAGGTGCAGTCATTCTTGCAGCTGTTATCTGTTATCTAAGACAGCAGTCCCCAATCTTTCTGGCACCAGGGACCAGTTTTGTAGAAGACAATTTTCCTAAGGACTAAGGGTTTAGGGTAGGGGATGGTTTCAGGATGGTCTCTGTGCAGTCAAACCTCTCTGCTAGCGGTAATCTCTATTTGCAGCCACTCCCCAGCACTAGCATCACTGATGATCAGGTCCACCTCAGATCATCAGGCATTAGATTCTCATAAGGAGTGAGCAACCTAGATCCCCTGCATGAGTAGTTCACAGTAGGGTTCAGGCTCATATAAGAATCTAATGCCACCACTGATTTGACAGGAGGCAGATTATCAGGTGGTAATGCAAGTGATGGGGAGTGGCTGTAAATATAGAGGAAGCTTTGCTGGCTCACAGGCCACCACTTACCTCCAGCTGTGTGCTCTGGTTCCTAACAGGCCATGACTCCTACTGGTCCATGGTCAGGGGGTGGAGACCCCTGATCTAAGACACACAAGAACATAAAGGAATAAAGTCGTGTCATACACTTTCACGTACCACTGACGGGAATCCAGATTTTTTAGCTCTCTCAATAATTTTGAATTTTTCTTCAACAGATGAAAATTCTTCCTGTAAAGAAGAAGGGATGAAAGAAAAGTCATGTAATGACAGACCAATTTTTCCATTTCTAGTCAATCATTTGACAAACTTCCCTATCATCCATCCATTTACTCATCTACCCATTCCCTGCATGAACAAAAGATTTGCGATCAAAGTCATGGAATGAACTCCATTTTCCTTAAGACACTCAAAGGCAGCAAAATTCCACTGCCTTCCATTGCTATCCAGTGACACTGGATTGCTCTATGGTAAGTGAGTATGTGACTTGTGTGCTTGTGCCTGTTTTTTCACTATCAGCTCTGCTAATAACCTCTTTCTCCATCTCTGTCCTTAAAAATTCTGCTAGATTGTTAGGGTTCAGCTCATGTCCACCCCCTTCCACAAAGTCTTCTTCACTGAATAACACTTTCCGTGAAATATAACAGTTCTTCTTGAATTCCTGTGTTATGTTATCTTTCATCAGAAAATGTTTGATGCCCTTTAAAGTATACATCAGATGTTTGGAATAAATCTGAGCATCAGTACAGCATAGTTACTAGCTATAATTTAGCACCAGAAAGTAAGTTGTAAAAAAGAGAAAAATTTCCCTTTCTATTCTCTGCTTCCCTACCCCCAAACTGTAAAGAAGAACAATCATACAAAAATAACAAAATAGCTAAAGATCTAGGGTGGATTGTTACCTTCTGTCCCAAGAATTCATTCCCAACTCATCAAGCAACAACCTGCAGAAATAAAATGGTCCCTGCGGCTCCACTGGTGAGGGTTGCTCCTGGCTGGGGACTTGCATGGCTGAATCAGAGTTACTTCTCTGAATATATTCGTCTTCTTGTGCGTTCTGGCGCAAAATGACCTCAATAATTTCCTTCTCTTGGTCACAGTTCATTCCATGTGGGGGTGGGGAAGGCTCATTTAGATTTAGCTGCGATGGCAGAAGGCATTCAGGACTAGTGTGGCCAATGTTTTCAAGTAATTTATCAAGGACATCATCTCCCTCCTCAGTCTGAGGAAAACTTCTCTGAGGCCCAAATGTTCGATGATGCCAGCCTGAAATCAGAAACGAAGGATTTCTGCTGCTGGGTGTTAAGCAGCCTTCTAAAGGTCCATACAAAACCTTCCCATCCCAGCAGTACTTTCCTGAGATGTCCCTCACAATTACTCTCACGTCTGAGAGGGCGCCCACTGGTGAACTGCCTGCCAATCCTTCTGTGGGTGTCTGAAGGTAGGAAATGAGGGTGCTATCATTAAATACAAACAGCTGCAGGTTTGGGCTCCTGAACACCTCGGAAGAGAGCTCAGAAGCTTCTGCAGGAGTGTTGTCATGATTCTCGCTGACCAGGCTGTGCAGCACGGCCGGGCCCCCACGGAGGGGGAAATGTCCCAGGTGGTTCACTAGGTGGGCCATCACCATTCTGGCAGTCAGAGGGATCAGCTCCAAACTTCGCCTCTTCCTCTCTGTGAACAGCAGTAAAGAAACATAAAGAGACAGTAGATAATGAAGATTAACACTGAAGACCACCAGATTTCAATCTGTAGTTAGAATATTTGGTTTTTTATATTGTTGTTCAAGCACAGTTGTCTCCATTTTTTCTTCACCTCTTCTGCCCCGGCCCCAGCCATCCCCACCTCCCACCTTCCATCCTACCCGCTTCGGCTTTGTCCATGTGTCCTTTATAAACGTTCCTTGAGAATTTTTGCTTTTTTTAAGTCTGGGAATCTTTTTCATCTATTTCCCTTTTTAACACATTCTTTGTGAATTTAAAAGCACAATTTAAATAGATGGCTAAGAGAATCAACTTACATGAAGATTTCATTCTGAAAGGGACATTTAAAAATTTGTGCGTACAGCAATCTACAAGAGAAAGGTCCTTGTCCTTAAAAAGGTGGTGGTTTGAGAGCTCTGGGAAGTCAGAATCTGCAGTTAGAAAGGATGGCAGAGCTGAACAACTAGGGGATCAAGGCTGAGGGCAAGTGGAAGCTGGGCGAAAGAGGTTACCTTGCTACTTTCAGTGCGCTAAAGGCAGGCACTGATAAGGAAATGAACCCAGTCTTTGACTGCTTAAATATAGTTTACAGCTGGGAATATACAAAACAGAGTTTGTTCTTATATTATTTATTAACTATTGTGTTATTTTCCATACAAACAACTCCAAAACTACTTATGCCTACCCTGTATAAATTGCAATTTATTTTAAGATCATTGTGACAATTTATGTTTTGTTGTTAGGGCATTTTAAATATTTCACTGAATCTGATATATTAATTCATTGATAGTTGATGATTAAATGCCCAAGAGCAACTGGTTTATAAAATTTCCAAGACTAAATGTACAGAGAGATTTGAGAATAGCATCTAAAGGTAGGCTTTGTAAAATGTTTGAGGTATAAGGGCAAAGCACATAAGCTAAATCCCTAAGTATGGATTGAATGACCCACTTAAGCTTGAGAGAAGTTAGGGAGAGTTTAATCCACCACATTTATAAAAAAACAAACAAAACAAAACTATGCATTAATCTAGAACAAGTTAAAATGAAACCTCTTGCTTTTAACAAAAAAAATCACTAGATATTTAAATAAACTAAAATTTAAAATTTGGGCTTAAAGTTTTAGGACATATTTGTTTTCTAAATTCACAACATAAATCAATTTATTAATTACAAAATTACTTTACTATTAATTTAATCTAAATCTCCAACATGAAAATTAACTTTTTCATGCCAAACACCCTTCCTCTCAGACACCGAAAATCCAACTGACTTATTTATAAAATATCAATTTTACAATGTATAAATCCTAGAAAGAAACAATTAAATCCTAGAACTTAAGAAATTCTATGTAATGACTGAGTAGAACAAGGCTGTCCTGATTTTTCTTGGATTTCTTTTATTTCTTTTCCTTTTTGGTGAACTAGAAATTATCTGTATTCAGTAATTCAAAATAAAAATTTCATATTAAAAAACCCTCCTATTTCAGAAGCAAAGAGGTCATCTACATTAGTCTCTGAAATTAAATTTTTCTTCTTATCCCTGGTACAAGTGCTTATGGCTTCCAAACAGCTGAAAAAATTTAAATACCTCAATTAAATCCCTTGAAATCACAGCTATGAATGCCTTTGCTTTCGTGTCTACATCAACTTTTTCAAAAGTTATAGATGCTTTTTATTCATGCTTATCATTTTATATGAATATATGCTCCATCAGAAATGTTAATGCCCCAACAACAAAGGCGCAGCCTGCTTAGGAGTCATAATGTAAGATACTGTGTGGTGATATGGTAGAGCAGGCTATGAAACTAACCATAAAGGTCCAACTTGATAAAGCCCAAGGCATAAAATAACAACTGCAGAGGCAACTCTCCTCTACTTTTACTTACATAGGTTGTGCTTTCAATTTGAGATGAATATAAATTTGTATTTTAATAAACATTTGAATTCTACAATGGGAAATTAACCTGCAGTCACACTAATCAAGTCATAAACCATGACACACCCAAATAAAAACCTAAAATATTTTTGGTATTGAAAAGTAGGAAATTCTCATTATAGAATGAGAATTGCTCTTCTCTGGCAGACTTCAGTTGACTCAACTGCTTGTAGGTGCCCTGAGAAGTAAAAAGAAAATCTAGACTCCATTATTAAAAAAAACAAGCTCATGACTTCTACAAACTATGAAAAAATATATCCCAAGTATTTAGTTTTCTAAATTTAGGAATAAAATATAAAATCAAAAATATTAGGTTGTCCTTTAACTTACATATTTTTAAAGCTCCTCCCCTCCCTTCATTTTAAGCACTCAAGTATTAATAATGAGAGCACATGTACATGCCATTAATGGCTTTTCCTTGAGCTGGGCCAGCAGGTACTTCAGTTGTAGGTAGTTGAATGTGTTTCTTGTAACTCTATTTGGAAGTAATAATGACATCAAATTGTCTATGAAAAAATCATTTGAAAATAATAGATAAAATATAATATAATATTGCTTATCAAAAACACCATTAGACTAGAAATAGCTTGGTTATGAATGATAAATTATGGCATTAAATAAAAGAAAAAAACCCCTCAAATATGAGCACATTTTGTTTAACCAAAAATACCTCAGTTATCATCTCTTATTTTTCCTCTTTAATCTTAACAGGATATGGTCACTCAGCAAGAATATTTGTGTGTGCCAATATGTTTTTAAGCTTCTTTGCTTTTTTATTTAGTTAAAATGGTACTGAATATTGTTTTCAGTACCACAGAACTATTATTAGAACAAGTCAGCATAAGGTCCTGAGGTTTTCTGGAGAATAGATTCAAGTTAAGGAATGCTGTACACTGAAAGAAAAGTGCTACCAAATTTTAAAGGCATATTTTTAGGTTTCTCCTTTCTTACTAACCTGTTAATCTGCTATTTTCAAATGATGAGTCATTATAAGTGGTGGACCCATTTTTGTGATAGTTACATGGGAAGAATGCAAATCAATGGCTTTAAAAAAGAGTTAATTTTCTTATGAGACATGGACTACAAGGAAGAAAACAAAAGAAACAGATAAAGGGTCACTGTAAAAAAATATAGTTTGAATTTACAACTGTGTAAAAAAAGGCAAGAAAATATTGCAGTTTAAATGAACAGTGAATTCCAGGAAAAGACAACTACATGATTAAGCAACAAGAGGACAACATGAGTATCTGCCATATACCATCCACCAGCAACACAATTCAAAATGAGTCTTTAGTGTACTCTTGCAAAATATTCGAGTAAGTAATAGAAGGTTTCAGGAACCTGATCATTAAATCTTAAATTCAAATCCCACCTCTATTACTTATGACTTATATACCCTTGGGAAAATCCCTTTGCCTCAGTTTGCTCATCTACAAAATAGAGCTCAGGTAAGGACTGGGTGATTCCAGAGCCCTTGTTCCTGACTGGTGCCTCAAATTCTGTCCTCTTCATCCACACCTTACCCCGCACTTTCTTCTCAGCCTAAACCACAGTCCAGACTCTATAGTCTTGCAAGCACTGTCCTGGACCCCATGCCCTCCCCTAGCTAATGCCTGCTGTGCCCTTCCTCTCTCCACCAAAGGCTCCACAAGAGGGGTCTGTCTTGAAGTTCTGAATGGTCATCCCCTAGGGTACCTGCTCATGCTGTCTAGCTACAGACTAATCACTCTGACCAAAGTACTCAGTAAAACCTACCACCAAACATTTAGTTGGGGAATAAAACAACTCCTGTTCTGTTGTTACCCTCCCTGAGCTTTCTGAAGTACCTACCACTGCTAACCTTCCTTGGCTCCTTATCTGCCCCCTTCCTTTGACTTCCTAGAAATGACTTCTGATTCTTTTTCCATTTCCCTCACTTTCCTTTTCTAGCGACATTTCCTTTTTCCTTTACCCAGGGTCCATTCTTGGTCCTCCACACCTATGTTTTTAAAAATTTTTAAATTTGAGATTATTGAAGATTCACTTGCACTTGTAAGAAATAATACAGATAGATCTCAAATATCCTTCACTCCAATAGTAACATCTTATATACTGTAGTACCCTACCAAATCAGGAAGCTGACACTGAGACAATTCATCACTATTCAGAGTTTAGTTGTTTTACAGACACTCATTTGTGTATGTGTGTGTGGAGGTACTGTGCTATTTTATCAGTTGTATATGTACATAACACACCCACATTTCGACTCACATTCCAGACATGGGGTCTTGTCATTCTGGGGAAAAAGGTGGTTGAGGAGGACATATAGCAGCTCCTAAGTCCTGATGATACCCACATACTCTAAAGTGGTCCCTCTGCCGTGAAAATAGCTATGCTAAAACTGTGGCATGTAAATTACCATCTTTTTCTTCATGATGCTCTTTAGTCTGGAATACTTTACGAGCTTCTTTCAAAGTCTGTCCATCCTTCTAAGCCTGGCTTTGGTTCAGCTCCATGGGAAGCCCCTATGGTGCTACCAGTCCACAAATGAGTCCTTTCGTATTAATCCTGTCTCTCCCATTACATGGAAAGCTTCTTTGGGATAGAAAATGAACAGTTTTTGTGGGTGCCAAGGGTCTGAAACATATGGGTCTTCAATAACACAAAATTCAACTAAGGTGGGAAAGAAAGGGAAAAAGAAGAAACAAGGAAGGCAGAATTTTCAGAGAACAATAGAAACTAGGATTTCAAAAACTAGATTAAAAAAATAATACAGCAAGCATAGATAAAAGACTATAATTTCTTCTTTTCCTGCTCACAAGAATTAATATTCTGAAAAGAATCTCACCCTCTTCAACAGTAAGCAGGTTGCCAAGTTCTGCTGATGAATGATATTGGACTGGCTCAGAATTCTTCACATTTGCCAGTGGCAGGAAGGGGTCATAATCTGAAGATGACAGGTCAGCCAGGGTCAGTGTGTAGTGACTCTGTTGAGTGTATGTGCTTGAGCCGCACACACAGCAGTGCAGAACCTGTGAAAGAAAGAAGGGAATGTGTGCCAAGGATGCCGCTAACATTCTGTCCCTGACAATTTGTCAAACTACAACAGCACTTAGGAGGTAGGACTCCTGCTTGATAGTACTTGAAAACATCAAATCCTTTCCATTCTAAAACATATTCTTGCTATTGGCAAGCTTATTTGTTCCTTTGACATCAATGTCAATAAATATATTCTCAAGGCAAAAACAACAACAAAAAAAAGCAAAAGTAAAGAAGTGCTTATTTCACCATTCAGTGTGGTTGCACATACCTAAGTCTTGCTTCACTCCACCAAAGGCAACACAAGTAATTTGAAGGAACTACATTGGGAGATGAAGACTAGCTATGGAATAATATACGAGATAAACCATCATCTTTCATAGTGGAGGGTAGACTGCAAGCAATAAGCAGAGACTTTTAGCATTTCATAAATGCTCATGAACTTAAATTAGTATAACTCACAACTCCAAGAAATGGAAGAATTGGAAGGGTTAATTTAATACAATTTTTAAAGTGTGATTAATGGCCCTAGATGGTATTGCTCAGTGGATTGAGCACAGGCCTGCAAACCAAAGGTTCGCCAGTTTGATTTCCAGAGTAGGGCACATGCCTGGGTTGCAGGCCAGGTCCGCAGCAGGGAGTATGTGAAATGCAACCACACATGGATGTTCTCTCTCTCTCTTTCTCCCTCCCTTCTCCTCTCTAAAAATAAATAAATAAAATCTTTTAAAAAGAAAAAAGAAAATTTATTTTAAAAAGTGTGATTAATGAAGTAAATTTAATACAAATTTTTAAAAAATCATGTTTATTCTATTACAGTTGTCTCAGTTTTTACGCCTGTGCCCTCCTCCACCCATCCCACCCCCACCCCTGCTCCCACAGTCAATTCGCACACTGTTGTGCATGTCCATGGGTCATTCATACATGTTCTTTCTTTAGTCCCTTCTCCTTTCCACCACTGTCCTCCTTCCCCATCACCTCTGGTCACTTTCAGTCCGCTTCATGATTCCATGCTAGTGCTTTATTTTATTCGTTAGTTTATTTTGTTGACTTGATTCCACTTATTGGTGAGATCATGTGGTATTTGTTTTTCACCAACTGACTTATTTCACTTAGCATAATATTCTCCAGTTCCATCCATGCTGTTGCAAAAGGTAGGAGTTCATTCATTCTTTCTTTTTTTTAAAAAAATGCAGATTTTATTTATTTATTTATTTTTTAAATGTCAGAATCCATTATAAAATACTAAAAAATTTAAATCCATTATAAAGTCTCAGCAATTAAAACAACATGACACCAGCACATAAATAATCAGGTACATCAAGGAAATAAAATGAGCATTCTAGAAACAAACGTATATATCTGGCTAACAATGGAATATATGATTAAACTGATATTTCAAGTCAATGGGGAAAATAAGGCTTATTCAACAAATAAGGTGCATGGACCACTATTACCTGAAATAAAACAAATATAGAGCCCCGTTTCACACTTTACGCAGAAAAATATTCAGGTGAGTTAGAAATCAATATGTAAAACCTAAGGCGTTTTAGGAGAAAATGCAAAATAATATTTTTCTTAACCTGAAGTGAAATATTCAAACCCAGAAGCTATAAACTATAATATTGACAATATGACTATATTAAACATTTAAGACTGTACAGTAATATACATATTAAAAAAGTTAAGAGACAAGTAATAGAATAGGAGAGTATTTGCAACACATCTAAAAAAAGGGTTAATAGCCTTTTTTTTGTTTTTTTCTTTTTAGGGAAAAATTGTATATTTAATCAAAAATGGATAAAGGATACCAAAAAGTAATTTTTGTTTTTTGTTTTTAGGGAAAAAATTCTACATTTAATCAAACAATGGATACAGAATACCAAAGTCATTTAAAGCTCTTTAAAAATAATAGGAATAGGCAAGAAATATACAAAAACAGGTTTAGTTTCAACAAATAATAAAGTAGCAACTAAAATAACACATCATTGTCACAATCAGATTAATAAGTATTAAAAATATTGGTAATATCAAGTATTGGTAACTGCAAAAGGAACTGGGTATTCATAGACTCTTTCTTCATCTTCTTAAATCAGTCCCTTTAGCATATCTTGCAGTGCTGGTTTGGTGGAGGTGTATTCTTTTAGCCTTGTTTTGTCTGGGAAACTCCTTATTTCTCCTTCCGTTTTGATTGAGAGCCTCTCTGGGTAGAACAGTCTTGGCGGCAGGCCTTTGCTTTTCATGACTTGGAATTATTTCTTGCCATTCCCTTCTGGCTTGTAGTGTTTCTGTTGAGAAGTCAGCTGCTAGCCGCATACAAGGGACTGCCCTTGTATGTTACTACCTGTTTCTCCCTTACTGCCTTTAGGATTCTCTGTTTGTCTTTGATATTTGCCATTTTAATGATGACGTGTCTTGGAGTGGGCCTCATTGGGTTCCTCTTGAATGGGACCCTCTGTGCTTCCTGGACTTGTGTGACTTTTTCTCTCCTCAAAGTAGAGAAGATTTCTATCATTACTTTTTCAAACAGGTTCTCTATCCCTTCCTCATCCTCTTCTCCTTCTGGTATCCCTATTATACAGATATTATTACGTTTCAGGTTCTCCTGCATTTCCCTAAATGCCTCTTCATTCTTTTGGAGCCTTTTTGCATTTTGTCGCTCTTTCTGGGAGCTTTTTTCTACCGTATCCTCCAGCTTGCTGATTCGTTCCTCTGCTTCATCTTGCCTGCTTTTGATTCCTTCTACTGTGATCTTCAATTCAGAAGTTGTATTCTTCATTTTCTCTTGCCTCTTGTTGATAGTTTCTGTGTCCTTTTTCATGCTGAGATAGTTTGCAGTAAGTTCCTTGTAGTTTCTCTGTAGTTTTTGGTAATTCTCTCTGAGCTCACTGAGCTCATTGAGCTTCCTTAGAACCGTTGTTTGGATCTCAGTATCTGATAGTTTACTTGACTCTATTTCATTTAGTTCTCTTTCTGGGGATTTCTCCTTTCCCTTCGAGTGGGGAGTGTTTCTTTGTCTTCCCATTATTTGTGAGACTTTTCTTTTTTGCTTCTGCTTCTTAAATTGATCCGTCTTGATTTCCTGACTTTGTGGTGGGAACTTCTATGGTAGGAGACGACTGCTGTTTTTTCGTCCTGGATCTCCCTTTGATGATGTCAGCTGTTAACCCTGTCTGACCTTAGGCAGTCTATCGAGACTTTCAGGAATCTACCATCTGTGGCTGTGTTCTTCAGCTGTTAATCTAGTCACTCTGCACTCAGCAGTCATGCTCAGACAGCACAGGGCTGGGCAGAGTCACTCCTGTGGGCGGGGTTATTTGGTCCTCTCATGCTGATGCCATGCAGGGGAGTGGTATGCCTGAGCCAGATGGCTGCTGCCGTAATGGGAAGAGTCAGCACTGAGATCCTGATGGCTACTCTCTCAGTTCTCTCCGCAAAGCCTGCTTCCCCAGTCTCTCCTCAGGCATTTCTAGCTCACTCTGCCCCTGCCTTTCCCAGAGCCAGGGTAATTGGCTGCAAATAAAAATTTATCTGTTGGCCCTTTAAACGTCTCTTTGCATCTCCAGTGGCCCATCTCTGGCAGAGAGCAACCCTACTACTTTTCGCAGCTGGTTGTTAACTGTGTACTTTTTGGTCTCTGGTGCCGTAGGCTGGAAATCCCCACTTATAGTTTAGACTCTGCTCTTCTCAGGGAGATCAACTGACTGACTTTTTGGTGCTGCCACCAGTCAGCGCCCTGCCTGCCTTCTCGAGTCTCTACCACACTCCTTACCAGTTAGGTTGTGCTACAGATGATTCTTCTGTCTGTCCGAGGTAATAAGGCTTGTCTCTCGCTATTGTTCACTTATTTGTTCCAGGTGATTTCTCCACAATTTATTTACAATTCCAGATTGGTCCTGGGAGGTCATTGTCACTTCTACTCACTCCTCTGTCATCTTGATTCTCCTTTAATATGAATTTTTAAAGTATTTTTATTCTTATGAGATTAGTTTCCTAAAAGCTTACTGGTGGTTTACGAAATGCTGTGGACTCTGTAAGCTCTTTAAGCCATGCAAATATAGATAATCTTGCATATGTCAAAATGTATAAATTAGCTAATAAGTATAGTAAATGTTACTTTTTGATCAGGAATTCAAAATCATAAAAACAGCTGATTTTTATAAAAATCAAAGTAAAACTCTAGAAACTAAGGAGATCTCTTTTTTCCTGATTTTTAATTTTTAAACATTTTTTTATTGTTCAAATACATTTGTCTCTACCTTCCTGCCACCACTTTCCCCTGCCCCCCTACTCCACCTCCCTCCCTCAATCCTTTCCCACTCTGGTTTTCTCCATGGGTCCTTTATACATGTTCCTTGACTTGACCTTTCCCTTCCCTTTCCCCACCCCCCCTTCCCTCTTGATTCTGTTGGTATCGTTTTTCTTTCAATATTGCTGGTTATATTTTCCTTGCTTATTTGTTTTGTTGGTTAGGTTCCACTTATAGGTGAGATCATATGGTATTTGTCTTTCGCCCCCTAGCTTATTTCACTTAGCATAATGCTCTCCAGTTCCATCCATGCTGACATGAAGGATAGTAGCTCTCTTTCTGCTGTGTAGTAGTCCATTGTGTAAATGTATGATAGTTTTTTGATCAACTCATTTAGTAACTGGCACTGAGGTTGCTTCCAACACTTGGCTATTGAAAATTGTGCTGCTATGAACATTGAGGTGTGTAGGTTGTTTTTAATTGGTGTTTTGGGTTCTTAGGGTATACTCCCAGCAGTGGAATTGCTGGGTCAAAAGGCAGTTCCATTTATAGCTTTTTGAGGACATTCCACACTGTTTTCCACAATGGCTGCACCATCTGCATTCCTACCAACAGTGTACTAGGGTTCCCTTTTCTCCACAGCCTTGCCAGCACCCATTGTTTGTTGACCTGTTTATAACGGCCATTCTGACTGGTGTGAAGTGGCATCTCATTGTGGTTTTAATTGGCATTTCTCTGATGGCTAGTGATGATAAGCATCCTTTTATATGTCTTTGGGCTCTCTCTATCTCTTCCTTGGAGAAGTGTCTCTCCAGGTCCTTTGCCCATTTTTATTTATTTATTTATTTACTTTTTAAATACATTTGTCTCTGCCTCCCCCCCACCACTTTCCCTTGCCCCCTCCTTCCTTCCCTCCCTCAGCTCTTCCCCTTTGGTTTTGTCCATGAGTCCTTGCTATATGTTCCTTGACTTGCCCCTTCCCTTCCCTTTCCCTGCCCCCCCCTTCCCTCTTGTCTCTGTTGATTCCTTTTCCTTTCAGTGTTGCTGGTCATATTTTCCTTGCATCTTTGCATTGTTGGTTAGGTTCCGCTTATAGGTGAGATCATATGGTATTTGTCTTTCGCCCCATGGCTTATTTCGCTTAGCATGATGCTCTCCAGTTCCATCCATGCTGTCGCGAAGTTTAGTAGTTCTTTTTTTCTTTCTGCTGCGTAGTATTCCATTGTGTATATGTACCATAATTTTTGATCCAATCATCTACTGATGGGCATTTAGGTTGCTTCCAACACTCGGCTATTGTAAATTGTGCTGCTATGAACATCGGGGTGCATAGGTTCTTTTGTATTGGCGTTTTGGTGTTCTTAGGGTATAGTCCCAGCAGGGGAATCCCTGGATCAAAAGGCAGTTCCATTTTCAGCTTTCTGAGGAAATTCCACACTGCTTTCCATAGTGGCTGCACCAGTCTGCATTCCCACCAACAGTGGACTAGGGTTCCCTTTTCTCCACAGCCTCGCCAGCATCTGTTGTTTGTTGATCTGTTTATGATCCTTTGCCCATTTTTTAATTGGATGGTTTGTCTTCCTGGAGTGGAGTCATGCGGGTTCTTCATATATTTTGGAGATCAAACACCTGAGGTATCATTGGCAAATATATATTTTTTTATTTCATAATGTCTTCTTTTGCCATGCAGAAGCTTCTTATTTTGCTGAGGTCCCACTTGTTTATTCTTTCCTTTACGTCCCTTGCTTTAGAGGACATATTGGTGAAAATATTGCTGTGCATAATATCTGAGTTTCCTGCCTATGTTCTCCTCTAGGACTTTTATGGTTTTGTGACTTACACTTAAGCCTTTTATCCATCTTGAGTTTATTTTTGTGTATGGTGTAAATTGGTGGTCAAATTTCATTTTTTTGTATGTAGCTGTCCAGGTGTCCCAGCACCATTTGTTGATGATGTTCTCTTCACACCATTCTATGCTTCTGCACCTTTTACCAAATATTAATTGACCATAGAGACATGGGCTTATTTCTGGGCTTTCTATTCTGTTCCACTGATCTATATGTCTGTTCTTGTGCCAGTACCAGACTGTTGTAATTACAGTGGCCTTGCAATATAGTTTTATGTCTGGTATTGTGATCCCTCCTGCAAATTGGAAAGGAGGAAGTAAAACTATCATTGTTTGCAGATGACATGATAGTGTACATAGAAAACCCTATATACTCCACCAAAACACTACTCGATCTAATAAGTGAATTTGGCAAAACAGCAGGATACAAAGTCAATATTCAGAATTCAAAGGCATTTTTGTACACCAGCAATGAAATATCAAAAGGAGAAATCAGGAAAAAAATCCCATTTGCTATAGCAACAAGAAAAATAAAGTACCTAGGAATAAATTTAACCAAGGAAGTAAAAGACCTGTATGCAGAAAACTACACAACACTGAAGAAAGCAATTAAGCAATTAAAGCAATTATTCAGTGGACACACAAATGCTAAAAAAATAAATAAAGCCCTCACAGGACAGACTGTAAGGCCCATATAGAAGAATAGTATAAAGGATCCAGAGCAAACACCACACCTAGTTATTAATATGGGGTGACTTCAAATATTTTAAGTACTATAAAAATGAGGCTAATTATTTCCATGTGATATATTTCATTAATTTATTTCTTAATATCTTTTAAAGCAAAGAGATTACTGGAACCATTATACTTTTTTTCCTTTGAATAACAGATTTTATCAAACTAAGGCTGTGGGTATTCCTACAATATCAACAGTTCTTTTTTAAATTAAGTAGGTTTGAACCATGTTCCATGAGAACTGGGGGATTCTGATCAAACTGCAGTTTAAAGATGATATGTCATGTAAAAGTGCATGGATCTTTCACATGGTAACCACTGCTTCTCTACAATTATACCTGCTCTGTTTTCCCTGCTTAAGCTATTCATTCCTTTTAACCCCCCTATAAATCCTTTTCAAAGGGGCATAGATAAAAATAAGTAAATGCATAAAACATATTTTTACAGTTCTCTGGTTCTTAAGTCCATACTCTATGCCATTTAGGCCCAGGTGGATACTCACCCTGTAGATATAATCCAGCAAAGGAGCTCTGGATGAGTGCTGCTCCTCCAGGGCTGACATGGACACTGGGTGGAGAAGGGCATTCACTGGCAAAGCCATGCACCAATCCAAGAGGCAGAGTAGCAAGGACACAATGAACTGGAACAGGAAAGAGGACCAGTACCTTATACTGCAGTCTTTTAAACTTCGCTAAAGGTAATTAACAAACAACAGAATTGTTCCTGTATAATAGCAACTATTCAATGGACACACAAGTGAAAAATGAATGAATGAAACATGGTTTTCACAGGAGGGTCAATAGAGAGGGATATTATGCAGCGGTGTCCACACATTACATACATTGTGACATATAATCACAAAAAAACCTCGTGTCTTAAGTAAATTTACAGTGTTGTGTTGGGCCACATTTACAGTCATCCTGGGCTGCGTGTGGCCCATGGGCTGCAGGATGGACACCCCTGTGAAGATATCCCTGCATGTAGTATTTATCATTCTGTTTTACATATTTCAAAAACAAACTCTAGGGAAAACTTAGCCAATGTGTCACCTACCTTCTTATCTGTTTCCACTGAGGAGTACTCTGCACTTGGTAAAAGAAAAGCAATTGTGGCCACAAGGATCTGCATAGAAGATAAACCTCTAATCAAATATACCATAATATTAATTTTGTAAGCTATATGTTAAGAGTTCCACTCCACTCTATGGCTTCCACTCCACTCTATGTGGTGAAACAGCAGACCCCAGAGAAAATGATTTCTCTCTAGAGTCATACAGTTTCTAGCTTCAATCTCCATATTGTTCACTAGGAAAGCAAAAAATACTTTGAAAAAAATAATTATGAAAATGTTTCCATTTAGTTTTCTTATAAATTCCCCCAGGTTTATACCTAATATCCCAGCATCCCTTTTATACTCAAAGGTATTCTGTATAGATGATAAATTATATGGTTGCCCTAAAACCGATCTTTACATTTTATAGCATCTTACATTCCTACATCCAAAGTTCTATTTCACTCTAGGTCACTGAAGGGCAAAAATCACTTGTGGTTTTTGATGTAACTCAGAGAATAAAGTGATCTCAGTGGTGAAATTTGTCTAGGGCTGGAAGAAAATAAATCACTATCATTCTCTCTCCCTGGAATACCCCATGGGAGACAAACCAAATTTCCTTGAAGAGTTACCACTGGATAAGTATAGCTATAAAAACTGGCAGGAACAGGTATGCTTTACTACCAGACCCCTAGAGGGGTGAGGGTACCTGATCCTGCACAAGAAAGCAACCCCAAATGCAATCAACCTCCAGAACATTATAACTGAGATGATTCTTCTTTCTGTCCTTCTTTCCACCAATTACTCTCACAGAGGGTATTATAGCAGTAATCTCATTACTGCTGGGTAATCGTGCTATGGCAAAACATGGTCCGGGCCTTTGGTCTGGTAGAGATTCCTGTTTTACACAACAGTTCCCCACTTTCTCCCCAACACCCACCCCCTCCGCAGACAGACAGACAGACAGACACACACACACACACACACACACACACACACACACACACGCGCGCGCGCACACACACACACACACACACACACAAGCGCACGCGCGCCATCATAACCAGCTGCCTACTCCTTGTCCTTGTTGGCACCATCCAAATTACTCTGGATGAATGAAGTTTAATCTACAAAGGGTCTCTTTGTTGTGGTCTAGTCTGCCTTTCAAACTCCCCCAGTTTAAGATTCTGTCCTGCAAGTGGTAGCTTCTTTACGTAGTGCTTGAAATCACAGCTGAGAAGCAGTGCAACTCAATTTTAAAATGAATGACTCATATGGTAATCTAATTGTCAGTTCTCTAATAATTATTTGAGTATAATTGATTAAATATCAAATAAAATAAAAAGGAAATGCTTATACTTTAACATTACAGGAAAGAGACTTACTTCTGCAATTTTCAGAGGCAGAGAGGCTTCAAACATCTGAAGCTTTTCCCAGTAGGAAACCAGCAACTGAAGAACATCACAAGCCGCCTGAGCCACAATTTTGTTAGGAAACTATGAAAGAAACAAAACCCTGAATTAAATAACCTAATTTAACATGTACATGTACATTATTCGTAAGAACAAAAGTTATTTCTTTCCAGCTCTTTTAGAGATTTCCTTGTTTTGCTTTAAATTTGTGAAAAGTATATATTACCAGATAGTTTATACATGATCGCCATTCTATAACTGACTCTTGTCTTAGATTAGCTGTACTAAGTTATATAATATTCTGTAGAAACAAGTAGCTATCTTTAATCATTTGGAAATTAAAATAATAATTTCAAAAGGTTTTTTTTAAAAAAGAGTGATCTTACTCAGATCACATAAATCACACTTTTGACTAAAATGCAGTACATTATTAAGTATCCACTGTGTGTTCCATCTTTTACAAGACTTTTACTCATTGTAATGTTGAAAAATCTTCATTAACAACTCTTTAAGGTAGATGTTATCTTCATTTTACACATGGAGCAATGGATTGATCAGGTGATTTTCTATCCCATGAAATTAAACTTAATCCATATTAACATTAAAAAATGTGAAAAATTTGGGACTATGATAACATGATTCACAAGCTATAGTATATTCAATTACTTTGAGGATGTTTTCTGAGTCTTCATGTGTCCAAGTTTCTTCTGAGATGGAATGTCAAAGGGACAGCACCTGTGAGGACTGATAGCTGAGGATGCATATATAAGGGAGGAAGACACTCTGTCCAGAACCTGAGCTACATGGCTATTCACACCTCATTATCTAGAGCAGAAGGGTTTGTCATTGATTCTGTGTTTCTGTCTAGGGAAACCTCTGGATATGTTGTTGAGTTTTATGAAGCAGACACCAGCTGACCAGGGTACCACAAAAAACATGCAGGAAACCTAGCATTTTGCACCTCAGTGACTAATGCAGAGGATAAAGTACACGGTGATTGATTTTACTGAATAATTCTACAGAATAAAAAATTACTGACTACCTCTTCCTGACAGGTTAAGGTAAACCAGGATGAGAACATATGCACTCAGGGGCTCTTCAGAGCCTCACCCAGGCCTCAGTTATCCTGATTCTCATGGGACTCTTCATCCCTCCAATGCTCTGGCTTGTTTCTGCCCCAGGGCCTTTACACCTGCTCCATGTTTGCCTGGGGCACTCATTCTCCAGGTCTGAATTTGGCTGATGCAGCTACATCTTTTAGTTCATAGACTAAATGTCACTTTTTCCACATGCCCACAATTCCCATCCAAAGAAGTAGTGGCCCACCTCCTCCAGCTCTTCAGTTTTATCCTGTTCCCATTATAGTTTCTTTATGACATTAAGGGCTGTCAGAGCTGATCTGTTGTTTGTCTTCTTGTTTTGTGCTTATTTTCCTGTATCTTTTGTCACCATTGTATCCCTAATACCTAGCACAGCTCCCTAAGAGGAAATGCATGGTGTGTTTGCAGTAAAGATGGAACACGGGAGTGGAAGAATATAAGGGGGCAGTGGGTATGTTTCTGCTGTGAAATAGTAGAGTCATGAGGTAGAAGCAAGAATAGCAGATGAGGGGACAATGATGAAAGGAGAGCTATGTTAGACAAAAGGGCTATTGGCAGAGAGGGATGAGGTGTGAGAAGGGAGGCAGAGAAGGCATTGTGGAGTAAGAGCTGAACTGAGCCTGGAAGAATGCAGAGGGAGAATGTTTCCTTTCAGGCAGTGGACAGCAGGGTACAGGCATTGAGGGCTGCAAGTTGGGTGGTATAACTGATACCCAGAGTCCTGTGCAGGGGAGGGAATAGTTAGGATGAAATAAATAAGTCACTCGCTCACTCATCTAGTACATACTCAGAGTACTTACAACGTGCTATCACTGAATTAAAGGCATAGGGCACGATATGAGTAGGGCAGATACATTTCCTACTCTGAAGAAACTGACAGTCTCATAGAACAGACAGGGATCTATTTGTGTATGTTCCCAAGGGCCAAGCCCAACATTCTAGTCTGTGGATCACTTGGTGAGGCCTGTTGGCAGACAGATCTCGTTGGCAACAGTATGGGTAGATCTGTGGGGTCCAAACTAGGACCATGAGGGTGGTGTTGCAGGAGGCTCAGATACTGGCAGAGTGAGCCAGCTATGTAAAGGATGGCCCCAGGACAGGAGGTGTGACTGAGTCAAGGGCATTCAGGACTGTCTGACTAGAAACAGTGGTGGGATAAGGAAGGGGAGAAAATCAATGGTGTCTTCTGAGATGGGGTAAAAGATGAAACAACAGGTAAGGCCAAAGGCAGGAGGCTTGGGCTAAGCGTCTTCTCACTTGGGCTGCCCTGGAGGCAGGGTCAGGTAGCTTACCTGTACCTGAGCCAACATTGTCACTCTAGTGCCCTCACCACAGGTCTTAGATGGAACATTTAATTCTGTAAATACAGCCCGGGCATAGAAACCTCCATACATCCCCCTTCCCCCTCCCAGGTTACTTCACTAGAAACAACTAACCAAATAGGATTCTCTGGCTGGCTGTGTAATACACTGTCCTCAATTTTTGCTGTGGCGGCAGGCTGATTTTCATTGATACCCTTTGGGGAGCATTTTCCTAGCCTTCCCTGACCCGTGCCCTTAATGCCCAGGGCAACTTTGCCAGGAATTCCCAAAGGGCATGGTTATAGCAGAGCACTGCCTGGAGCTCCAGAGCTGTGTGGAGCCCATAAGGCAGAAAGCCCTTCCAGGGCTGACGTTCCCTGCCACCTACATGGCAAGTTCAGCTCCTGGCTGGGCCTTCCGTTTCTCCCACTTTCTCCCCCTCCAGGCAGAGCCCTGAGCCTCCCAGAGTGGTTGTTACTGTACCCCTTGTTCCTAGTGGCAACTCTTTCCCTTTACGCCTTGGTTCTTTTAGATTTATGTGTTACCTACTTCAGTAAAACTCCAACTGGCACAGGGACACAGACATCAGAGGGAAGGAGGCGGGGGGGGTGGCAAGGAGGAAGGAAGGAAGGATGGGACATGTCCAAGGAAACAGGACTTCTGTCTAGGAGTTTTCCTACATTATTCATAATGTTAAAGAGAGACTGACTTGGCTGATCCTGGGCCTCTGATTTCATTTTGTAGCTTCTTTTTAAAAAAAATTTTTACTGACTTTATTAGATTGACATTGGTTAACAAAATGATAAGAGGTTTTATGTGTATAATCCAATAATACATCATCTGTATATTGTATTGTTAGTCCGCCACCCAAAGACAAGTCTCCTCTGTCACCATTTATCTCCCCTTTACCATCTTCTACCTCTCTCACTCCCCTTTCCCTCTGGTAATCACCATTGTCTGTGTCTACTAGGTTTTCTTTTTTTTAAATGCTTAATTCCTGCACCTTTTTTATTCTCTCAACCTCTCAACCTCTCTCCCAACAGTCGCCCTTAGTTTGTTCTGTTTTGTTTATTTTGTTAACTAGATTCTACATATTAGTGAAATCATACGGTATTCGTCTTTCTCTGACTGGCTTATTTTACTTATGGTTCATCCATACTGTTGCAAATGGTAAGATTTCCTTCTTTATTAGGGCTGAGTAGTATTCTATTGTGTAAAGGTACCACAGCTTTTTTTTAACTACTCATCTACTGATGGGCTCTTGGACTGCTTCTAAATCTTGCCTATTGCAAATAATGCTGCAATGAAAATAAGTGTTTATATATTCTTTCAAATCAATGTTTTGGGTTTCTTCGGATATATATTCCCAGAAGTGGAATCACTGAGTCATAAGGCAGTTCCATATTTAATTTCTTGAGGAAACTCAAACTGTTTTTCACAGTGACTGCACCAGTCTGCATTCCTACCAAAAGTGCAGAAAGGGTTCCTTTTTCTCATTGTCCTCGCCAACACTTGTTGTTTATTGATTTATTGATGATAGCCATTCTGACAGGTGTGAGGAGATATCTTGTGGTTTTAATTTGCATTTCTCTGATGATTAGTGATGCTGAGCATCTTTTCAGATGTATATTGACCATCTGTATGTCCTGTTCAGAGAACTGTCTATTCAGGTCCTTTGCCCATTGTTTTAATTTGATTATTTGTTTATTTTAGTGTTGAATTGTGTAAGTTCTTCATGTATTTTGGATATTAATGCCTTATCATATGTATCATTGATGAATATGTTCTCCCAGTCACTGGGTAGTCTTTTCATTTTGTTGATGGTTTCCTTTCCTGTGCAAAAACCTTTTAGTTTGATGTAATCCCATTTGTTTATTTTCCCTTGCCTGAGGATATATATCAGAAATTGCTATGAGAAATGTCAGAGATTTTTCTGCCTCTGCTTTTTTCTCAGATTTCTATGGTTTCCAGTCTTACATTTATGTCTTTAAAAAATTTTGAGTTTATTCTTGTGTTTAGGTTAAGAAAGTGGTCTAATTTCACTTTTTGCACATACCTGTTCAATTTTCCGAATACTATTTATTGACTAGCCTAACTACCCCAGTGTATGTTCTTGCCTCCTTTGTCAAATTATTAATTAACCATAAAGGTGTGGGCTCTTATTTCTGGGCTCTCTATTCTGTTCCATTGATCTATGTGTCTGTTTTTCTGCCAGTACTATGCTGTTTTGATTATTGTGGCCTTGTAGTATAGTTTGATATCAGGTAATGTGATTCCTTTAATTTTATTCTTTTTTCTCATTATTGCTGTTGCTCTTCAGGGTCTTTTGTGGTTCCATATACATTTTGGGGATATTTGTTCTAGTTCTGTGAATTACACCATTGGCATCTTGATAGGAGTTGCATTCGATCTATGGATTGCTTTGGGTAGTATGGACATTTTAATGATGCTAACTCTTCCTGTCCTATATAAATACTATACTATACTATAAACACAGTATTTGCTTCCATTTATTTGTATCTTCTTCAATTTCTTTCTTCAGTATCTTATAATTTTCCAAGTACAGGTCTTTTACATCTTTGGTTAAATTTATTTCTAGATATTTTATTTTTTGATGCAATTGTATATCAGATTGCTGTCTTAATTTCCCTTTCTGATATAGTTCATTATGGGTGTATAAAACTGCAACCGATTTCTGGACATTTATTTTATATCCTGCTACTTTACTGAATTCATTTATCAGTTCCAGTAGTTTTTTGGTAGAATCTTTAGGGTCCTCTATATACAGTTTCATGTCTTCTGCAAAGTGAAAGTTTTAATTCCTTCTATCCTCTTTAGATGCCTTTTTTTCTTCTTCTTGTCTGATTGCTGTGGCCAGGACTTCCAGTACTAGGCTGTCTGGTGAAGTGGACTCCCTGTCTTATTCCCAAACTTAAGGAAAACATTTTTAGTATGATTTTGGCTGTGGGGTTGTCATATATGGCCTTTATTGCATTGAGCTATGTTCCCTCTATTCCCACTTTGCTGAGAGGTTTTATTATAATTGGGCACTGGATTTTGTCAAATGCCTTTTCTGCATTTATTGATGATTATGTGAGTTTTATCTGTCATTTTGTTTATGTGGTGTTTCACATTTATTGATTTGCAGTTATTCTACCTACCTTGCATCCTCAGAATAATTCCCCCTTATTCATGGTGTATGGTCTTTTTTAATGTATTGCTGGATCCAGTTTGCAATATTTTTGGAGGATTTTTGCATCTATGTTCCTGAGGGATACTGGCCTATAATTTTCTTTCTTTGTAGTATCTTTATCTGGTTTTGGAATCAGGATAATGCTGACCTCATAAAACAAGCTTAGGAGTCTTCTCTCCTCTTGAATTTTTTGGAACAGTTTGAGAAGGATAGCTGTTAGTTCTTTGAATGTGTGGTAAAATTCACCTGCGAAGCCATCTGGTCCAGAACTTTTGATTATTGGGAATTTTTTTTATTACTGTTTCAATTTCATTAGTTGTATAAAGTCTAGTCAGATCTTCTAATTCTTCCTGAATGAGTTTTGGAAGACAGTATGTTTCTGGGAATTTATTCGTTTTGTTCAGATTGTCCGATTTGTTGGCATATGGTTGCTGGTAATATTTTCTTACAATCTTTTGTGTTTCTGTGGTGTCAGTTGTTACTTTTCCTCTTTCATTTCTGATTTCACTTATCTGGGTCCTCTCTCTTTTTTCTTGATGAGTCTGATTAAAGGTTTGTCATCTTGTATCTTTTCAAAGAACCCCCTCTTGGTTTCATTGATCTTTTGTACATATTCTTTCAAAGTCTATTTTATTCAAGCTGGAGCAAGAGGGATTCCTTGGCTTTCCTTTGTCACCTTCTCTTTTATTTCTAAAATGGAAAGAGCAACAGAATGTACAGGGGTGGAGGATCCAATGAGACAGTTCATGCACTGTGCTGGGACACCCATGACAGAGTAAGGGCTCAATATATGGCAGGTCCATTTTTTTTCTGGTGCTTTATGTTTTCCCTCATAACTACAGAAAAATTAAAGAAATTTTTGAAAATCTGTATAAATACAAAGAAAAAATATAAGCCTTCAAATCCTTCTCTTGTTATCAATTTCTATCTCTCTTCTATACTACATAGAACTATAAGGTAGCAGACTACATATATAAACATGTATATCTGTATGTCTCCTTTATTCTAAGATACTATCAAATTATTAACAGCTTTTCTAGGAAAGGGATAAAGTTGGGAGAATCATATTACCTTAAATATACATTTATAGATTGAAGAAAAATTAAAAATTAAAAAACAGATCTTAGATTTGAAAAAATAAGAGACTAAAAAGTGAACTGGAATCTAGATATTGTGTTGGCCAAAAAGTTCGTTTAGTTTTTTCTGTACGATGGCTCTAGCAGTGCTTAATTTTAACTTCATTTGAAATAATTTTGTTAGATTGTGTTGTGACAGCTGTCATATCAGTGTGCATTTAAAAAAAAACTTATCAGCCCTGGCTGGTGTGGCTCAGTGGATTGAGTGCTGGCCTGTGAACCAAAGGGTTACCGGTTCAATTCCCAGTCAGGGCACATGCCTGGGTTGAGGGCCAGGTCACCAGTAGAGGGCACATGAGAGGCAATCACACATTGATGTTTCTCTCCCTCTCTTTCTCCCTCCCTTCCCCTCTCTCTAAAAATAAATAAATAAAATCTTTAAAAAAAGGCTTATCAAAATCGGTAAATTTTTGTGCAATTTTAATATTGATGATGGAAGAACATACTCAACATTTTCAGCATATTATGCTTTATTATTTCAAGAAAGGTAAAAACACAACTGAAATGCAAAAAATATTTGTGCAGTGTATATAGAAGGTGCTATGACTGATTGAATGTGTCAGAAGTGGTTTGCAAAGTTTCTTGGTGCTATTGACATTTCAAAAAAATAAGTCTTTGCTGTGGTTGGGGCTGTCTCATGCATTAGAAGATGTTTAGCAGCACCCCTGGCTTCTACCCCCTAGAAGCCAATAGTGGGAGATAGCTGACATACTCAAACTATCCAAATCAAAAGTTATTGGTGAAAATTAAAAATATGTTTTATTTTATGGAAAAAACTAAATGGACTTTTGGGCCAACCCAACAGGTATACAATTGATATCCAACTTTTTTCACTTTAATGTGAATATTTCTTCATGGCATTGGGAGTCAGAGGGAGTACCCTCCACCCCACAGTTGTGAAAAAGTCCAGACATGGGGCCAGAGTGTCTTGGGTTTTACCCTGGCAAGCTACAAGGCTGATGAGAATAACCCTTCACCTCATAGGGTAGTTTTAAGGATTAAATATGATGACAAAGGTAAAAGGTCAGCTCCCTGCTCAGGCCAGTGGGAGCACTTAAGTGATATCTTGGTTTGGTCAATTTTCCATTCTTCTCCACAGGGATCAGTGGCAAGTATTTTTCCAACTCTCATGATATAACCAGCAATGCCAAGTGTTGATGAGAAGGGAAGGAAGAGGTCAGGGTGTCAGAGGAAGGTGGTCAGAGGGTACACTTAGGGAACAGGAGGCATCAAGTTTGGCCAGGAGGAGGGGTGGGTGAGGATGGCTGCCATGAATTCAGGCCGCCAAGGAAGACAGTGGCTAGACCAAAAAGCTAGATGCTGAGCCACAGGCAGGGAACGCCACTGGCATTACCCTGTGGGTTGAAACACAAAGGGTAGCACAGGGGCTGTCGATGGCCTAGTGATGACTGTCACAATGTCAGCTGCAGTGGCTGTTATTATTATAACAGCATGTAGCAGACAAGAGAGAAGGGTAAGCAAGAGCCTGGATGTTGCTGATAGATGGACAGTTCAGGATTCGAACTCTGGCTTGACCAGGTTGTTGCTCTAGAGCTCGGAACAAGTTCTTTATCTTTAACTGTCCTGCACCTCAGTTCCTCCAATGTAAAATGAGACAATGACCTCGCAACTGAGAACTTCCACACGCCCTCAGCACAGTGCCTGACTACAGTTGGGGACTCACTGGTTCCAGAGGTATACTGACAACAATGCTAATTATTATCACCATTTCTAAGCAGGAGCCAGGAAAGGACCGAGCAGGATTTGAGCTCTAGGTTAAAAAGGGGCCTAACAGCATGTATGAAAGTTGAGTTTTGTCTTTCATGTCACATAGATCAGCAATCAGTACTGTTTCCATCACTTATGCTTGCATGGACATGGGATCATGAGCTGATTTGTCTGGATGTTGCTTCCCTTTGGCACGACACAGGGACTGTAGCATCTACCTTCCAGAATTGTTATGAAGGTTATCAAAAGCATTTAGAGATTTTACCATGAATCTGGCCCAGTGTGAGTGCCCAATAAATGGCAGTTCTTCTTTTCATTACCAAAGCAAAGGAAGAAAGATGTCCTAAGAGTACCCAAAGCCCAGTTGGACCATGAGCACTCAGGGTCACTAACCAGGGCTATCAGGTCTCTCCTAGTCCTATGAGGCCAGAGCACAAATTCTCACTTTCTTGTCACTCCCCAAGGCAGGTGACAGGTGTCCTGCTCACCATAGGAGCTGCCCAGCCACCAGAGGAACCTAATTTAGCCACTGAACTTGGTACAGGAATGGTCGGCCTATGGATGACCAGGTTGCAGATATCAGTGGGGAAGCAGCCATTGGTGGTCTCACCTGAGAACCTCACAGAAGATTCAACATGGTTCCCAGAAAAAGAATTTTTGAATTAAAAAGCCTCTCGATAACATAGGGAAAAATAAAAATGGGGCTAATTTAAGCAAACACTGGTGGAAAACCTAGAATATAGCTTAATGTCAAATGTACATCCTGAGTTGGTAATACCTTCAAGGTGACCCCTATCACATTGATGGCCTCTTTCAGCTGAGGATGCCTTGTACAGTGTGCAAGCTCTTCACATATCCAGATTCCGAGGGAGCAAATGGCAATGCACCTTTTGAAAAAGAAAAAGGAGAAAAACTCTCATGAAATTTAATGTTTTAATTTCTGTGCCAAATTTTCTTGGTATTTTCAAATGACAAAATATTTTTTAAAAGTATCAAAATTTACAGATACACTAACAGAATGTCTTCTTGAGAAAAAAAGATAAGGTGCCTTTAATAAACCAAGTTTCAGGACAAACAGAAATATTGATAATGGTTAACAGTTCAATATTTAATGAAATAAATGGTAGATTTTCTGTTAATGTAACAGCCCATATATCACCTATTTTTGCTGAAACTAATTTATTACATTTTATTGCTTCAAGATATTTTTGAGGAAGAATAAAAAAATGGGAATCTTAGAAAATTTTTGGAAGTTGAATTTGTAATTGTTTTCCTTATAATAAAATACACAATACCAACCACAAATAGAAGATAAATCCTGTATTTTATTGTGAAGAATATTTGAATACAACTTTCAAAATAAGTTTCTTTTAAAAAATGTGTTAAGACAAAATTGTTTTTTAGTTGCACAGTCGTTAAAAAAACTACCCTTCCCAATTATAAGTTGATTTTAAATGACAACTCTCTTGGGAACTGATATACTCCACTATATTTTGCAATAATAAAACAATCATATTCCTGTCAGTTTTTTTCTGAAAGCTTATATATATATTTAAAATACTTGCTCCCAAAACTGCTCACTTTCAGAACAAAAAGGGGATTCAAACAACTATTTGGAAACAGACCTTAACTGTAATATGTATCTGTTGTCCGTTGTAATTAAGAGATTACATCTAGCACCAGCCAAACTGGATATATGGAGAGTTCCTTTGTATTAGACATAATTCCACAATTAAAATCAGTATTATTGAGTTTTTAAACCACCATGTTTCACTGGATTCTAAGCTCTTTAAATAAGGACAGACTAAGTGCACCAGAACAAACTTATTAAAAACACTTTGAAGACTGGGTCACCTTCTACCAAAATTCATTCACTAAAGCAGGGCAACTCAGTTTACAAGGTGTTCCAGGTTTTTTTTTTTTTGTCTCTCCAACACCAGCGTTATTCAGCAGTTCCACACAAGTCTAACCCTTGATGTTCCTATCTCTTCTCTTGCTTAATTCCTATGCATATTCGCTCTCTTTTTAAAAATTACTTATTTATTTATTTTTAGAGAGAAGAAGAGAGGGAGAAAAAGAGGGAGAGAAACATCAATGTGTGGTTGCCCCTCGAGCATACTCTACTGGGGATCTGGCCCACAACCCAAGCATATGCCCTGACTGCGAACTGAAACGATGACCCTTTGGTTCTCAGGCTGGCACTCAATCCACTGAGCCACACCAACCAGGGCTCTATGCTTATTCTCATCTGGAAACTGCATGATGCATTCTTAGTTTGCATATACTCTACATTCCCCTGTATTCTACACCTTTTTAAAAAGTCTATTTTCCTGCAGCTTAATCCAGGCTCTGTTTAACCCACTAAAATCTATAGAACTCGGTCAGAACTGTATCAAAAATTGCATTTTTACCATTTTTAAGAGCCTAACTTTCTTTGTTTGCATGTGTGTGTATGTAAATGAGTGTTACATCAAAACACATATATTTTTTTTTACAACCCATTAACCTATATGTTAAGTGAAATTTGTTATGAGCCAACACCTCTCATTTCTAAGCTAATAGTTAGCAGAGTAATGCATGTATTTGCACTACAGAGAACAGTTGCACTATGGAAAACATTTGTGACCCATACAATAGTTTTAAAATCTAAACTACTCTTACTTGCTTTCAGTTTTAATCCATACCAGTTTATATGAGCTTCTCCATGCTATTTTCTCTCTTTAAAATATATCATTTAACATTCCCATATAGCATCTTCCAATTCTAATGCTCTTAATTATTCCTCATGCCTAGGTATTCCTGCCAAGTAAGATTCTCTGCATCCCAAGTATGTCCTTTGTGATCCGAAATGAGTTTTATCTATTGAGACTTTTATTTTTGCTAATGACAATACTACCTCAACCTCATGCTGTCTTCCAACATAGTCTCTTGTTTGCTAGTACGCCATCTCCTACCATTCCAATTTATATCACAAAACTTATGTTTCTTAATTTTTCTAAATTATCACTCATAATTATCCTATATTTTCTTATTTGTCTCAATTTACTTGGAACATTGATCATACTTCAGTCTGCTTGCTTACCTACACTTCATGCTCTTACTTTCCTTATCTGATTCCTTTTATATACAACTAAGATAGACGGACCACATCACACACATGACTTTCTATACTAAAGAAAAGAGGTTTGAAAAAAGGTACTGACAACGTTTGTTGAAAGGTTGAATGAGGTGGCTACAGAAAAAGGAAAAATCAAGGATTTTCCCTAAACTTCTGTATTAAAAATCTAGTTAGATGGTGTCATTTACTAAGATGAAGTCTGAGAGAGAGCAGACTCACTGGTTCAGTTATGGTTGTGTTAAATTTGTATATATTAAGACATCCAAGCAGTGGGTGTCTTAAGATATCCGGAAAGCAGTTTAATATATATACCTGAATACATAAGGGGTTCACAGAAGGTATTAGGTAAATAAATTCAGATCATCAGCAGGTAGGTGGCATTTATAGTCTGGTTAGAATGAATAAGAGTGCCTAGAAAGTCATGGAGAGAGAAGAGAGTGAGTCCTGAGCCTCGAGTGACTCTAACATTCAGAGGTAGAGGAGGCAGATAGAAAGACGCAGGTGCAGTGATGCAGAAGCAAATCAGGTGTCTTAAGAACTGGTAATGTTCAGGAAGAGGGCAGAGACAAACTTCAGAATTAGTAAGGTAAATAAATACGCATGTTAAAATTTCTAAGGTAACCTCTAAAAGACCTGAAAGAATATCTATGACTTCTAAAAAAATAGAAATAATAAAAAGTGTAACACATAATCTGAAAGAAGAGAAAAAAAGGAAAAGGAAAGAAGGAAGGATGAATAGAAGGAAGGGAGAAAGGGAGAAAGAAAGAAAGAAAAGAAAAGGGAAAAAAGAAAGGCAAGAGAAAGGAGAAAATGAAATATTGAGAAAGACCAACAACAAAGTATAAGAAAAGATGAAAGAAGTACATCTACATATATCAGTAATGGCAATAAAGGTAAACGAACTAATCCTTAAGTTATAAAATAAAGGTCAGACAGGATAAACATAAAACTAGGCATCTACAGTTTTTGAAAAAAGAGAAAAATATAGAAAGGTTAAATTTAAAAGGATAGAAATACTATTTAAAAATAGTTGGGTCAATATCAGGTAAGTGGCATTTAAGAAAAAAAAAATTACCCTTAGAGAAAAAGAGCATCACTACGTGAATACAAATGATTTAATTCACAGCAGATATAATTTAAAACTTTTTTGCAGCTCATAATATAGCTTCAAAATATATAAAACAAAAATGAACAGATATACAAGGACAAATAGATACCAATGGGACATTTTAATGACTTTTTCTCAGTAAATGATGAAGTGATAAAAAAATTAAAAATATGGAATATTTAAAGGACATAATTTTAAAAATTAAGAAAACAGACACATCTAGAACACAACACCCAACAATTAAAAAAGAGTAACACTTTTTTTTTCACACATGTATGAGACATTCGCAAAAACTGACTACATATAGGGTCATAAAGCAAATCTCAATAATTTCTAAGACCATTTTCAGACAAACAGTATTTCTGACCTACAATGCAACCAGTAGCAAAAAGATAAAGAGAAATAATCATATGTTTAGAAATTAAATATGTTTCTAAATAAATCATGACTCAATGAAGGAATCATAGTGGAAATTGGAATAAATTTCTAATGAAAAAGTTAAGTAAAGCATTTTCCTGATACAATACTTGTTATACATTTTAGTGTGCAGAAGGGTAATGTAAAAGAAAAAATGTTTATTAACATTGTGTTTACACATAAATGTGTACCTTAAAAATGTAAAATGATTTATTTTTATTCAACATTTACCTTGCACATTCATTTGGTTCCTCTGTGGCATTCTTCAATAAAATATTTATGAGATAATGCTAAAAAAAAAAAATTAAGTAAAATAAAAACTTTGTTTAGTAGTTGGTTTCCCACATGTTCTGACTGTGTTCCAGGGAACTGGGAGCTGCCGAAGGACCAGGGAGCTCTGGGGAGGCTCCCATTAGGGAGAACCTGGGGGAAGGAAACACAGGGCTTCGGGGTAGCCCCCTGGGTAATCATGTCAGCCTATAGAACAAAGTTTCTGAGAATACAATAAAAACCTAGCAAAGCAAATGAGACTTTCAGATAGGAAAATCTCGGTTTTCTTTTACTTTAATTGGATTATATATTTTACACTGAATTATTGATTGTAATTATGTACTACAGATAGATAGGTTGATCAATTTTGGGATTTGGAAAGCATTTTCTTTTTTGGCCACAAAGTCAGGGGAGGAGAGAACAAATGCTTTACTTTTATTATCCAAGGAATAATCTAGAATTTCAAATTATTAGCATAATTTAATCACATCAACAATGCAATGGAATATTTAGCTTATTTCAATTATTTCTTATAAGTTCATCTGATGCACTAATGCTGCATAACCAATAAAATAATTATAAAGGATAATTTATTACATAATTATGACCGATAGACCTGATAAACAGATCTAATAAAAAACACCTGAAGAACATATCAGTTGTACCTGAAGTATGCTCTGAATCTCATACATTTAATCCCACTCAAACAGCCTTCTAAAAAAGAAAAAACTGTTGAAACACCTAAACAATATAGCAGAACTTTCAGGGATAATTAGGTCACTATGTAATATGGAAGAGATAACCATAGAGCTAGAATTATAAAATGCTAAACTTGAGATTTAGTCACATGTACTGTGTACCTTAACATCTTCGGTTCCTGTAATGACTTCACTAACTCCTGGCACTGACTGCAGCAAAGGGATCTCCTGGTAGGTATTTGGAAAGCAGACAAGAGAACCGAGAATGGTGAGAGCTTCTGAACGAGGTGCCTACACACAAAAAAGTAAAACACACATTTTTCTTCCTGTAAGTTAGAAATTTTAGAAAAGAGTCATGTTTTACTTTTTCATGCTTTTTGAAAGGAAAATTTTATAATTATTTCATCTTAGATTAAAAATATCAAACTATGCCTGGTTATTTTCCCCCAGATAAATACTTAAGCAAGAGAGGTTTGCCTAAATGTAAAAGCAATTTTCCAAGGAATAGAAAATATCACTATACTTAGATATAAAGAAGCATTGTGAAAACTGGTCTACAGACTCATTCAGAGTCAGAAAAGCAAAATGACTCAGTCCTGATTGTTTTACCTTTTTTTCTTTTTAGTCTTATGTTCTTGACAAAGTAGGATATATGACACCAACATAATATTAGTTTTTCTGTAAAGATAGTTAATGACAATTCATAAGGAAGAGAGGTCAGGCTAACTATTAGAAGGTAGAGATAGAAGACACCATCTACCAAATTTTCTGTTTCACCAAGAATTACTTTGCAAAATATAGTGTTTAACATCCGGTGAGATGCAAAATCACTCATTTCTTATTACTGCAATTAGGTATGTATTAAAGGAGGCATTTCACTAGATTTCAATTCAGCCATCACTAACTAGCAGCTATGATTAGCCCAGAATGGGGGCAGACACCAGGATTACAAAGGTATGTCATCCATCCATCCACCTCTGCCTATCTTCTATTATCTAATTACTATAACTGTAGCTAACACTTGAGGAGTTCTCTGTGGTAGGCACTGTTCTAAGTGCTGTACAAGCATTTCCTCATAGAATGCCCTCAATAACCCAATGAAGTAGATAACATTATCATTTCCATTTTACAGGTTAGAAAACTGAGGCTTAGAGAAATTAGTTTTTCAAGTTAATGAACCCTGATTTGAAATGAGGCCATCTAATTCCAGGGTCCACACTGGGTCTATACTGATAAGCACTTGAGTACGAAATGAAAGAGAGCTTCTCTCCCTCAGAGACATGGCAGTGTGGTGTGTGGGATGGGGAGAAGAGGCAAATAATACCTATATACAATTCAATGAAGTGGTGCTATGAGGGCCACACACTGGGGATATCATCAGAGCCCAGTATATTCATCTTTTACCTGTCTTGGTTCTGATCAGTACCTAAGTAAATAAAAGACAACAGAAAACACATAAAGAGATAGGTGTCCAAGCTTTTGGTGTCTCTGTGCCATACTGGAAGAAGAATTATCTTGGGCCACACATTACATACAATGTGACACATAATCACACACACAAAAAAGTCACATAATGTTTTAAGTAAATCTATGTTTTTGTTTTGGGCCTCATTCATAGCCATCTGGACTGCGTGCAACCCGTAGACTACAGGTTGGACACCCCTGGATAGGAACCAAGATGTGGCAATGATTTGTTCTGTTCAGGATGTTTAGAAATCTTAACAAACTGCTGTTAAGAGTCATATAGTGGAGAAGGAGTCATCCAGATAGGTGGAGAACAAGAGAGTGAGGTGGGAAGGCAAGAGGCATGCTGCAGGCGGTGGGAATAGAAAGGGCAAAGGCACTGATGGCACCCATGGAACTGTACGAGGTACCAGGTGCACAGGGCCCAGAAAACATGCAAGTATGAATGGAGGGGCTGGGGTTATTATAGCGGGAGGAGTCTGAGAAAGGCATCAGGGGTGCCTGCGAAGAGACCCACAAGTCATATGGCACAGTTCTCATTTCATTCCATCTGAGGAGTGATGCCCTCAGACTCCTAACTCAAGCAGGAGTGTGACTCAAATAGATGCTATCAGGAAAAGAAGAGTAGGATTCAGTCACTGAAGTATAGCATCAGTAAGTAATGACAGCTCTGAATGGGGCAACGGCATCTGGGATGAAGACACTATTTATCTTAATGTTTTATTTCCTTTATCAATACAAAGATTTGAAACTACTATAGCAAAAGGTTAAGATTTCCTAATGTCGGTCAGTAAGTACACAGCTTCTTGTTACATGAATTCCACAATGCAAAACTCAATGGTCACCATCCAGACCTTACCTCACCTGACTCCTTAGTGGCAATGAATGCAAGCTCACAGCTCCCTAGCACACGGGAACAATTTAGTCATTTGGCCTACGGGACACCATTTTATTGGTTCCTGAGGATACGTGACAATCTCCGTGCTGGCACTTCTCATTTCTTCAGGATCTAAACTTTGGGATTCTAAGTGCAGTTCCTTGCCCTCTTCTCTCTTAGATCTATACTCACTCCAATGGATATCCAAATCTGCGGATTTAAATGACTCCAACATGTTCCTTTCTCCCCAACATCTCTCTCTAGCCAAGACTTCCTTCCTGAAGTCCAGAATTGTAGATATAACTGCTTTACTGACATCTCCACTTGGGGCTCGAGAACACAACTCAGGCTGACAAGTTCCATCTTACCACAGAACTCTGTAATTCAATGAAACAGCACCCTGCCTCCGTTGCTCTGTCCTCTTCTCTGCTACCTTTACTTCATTTTTATGTTAAGAAAAATTTTAAACGTAAAAGAAGAATGAACATTATATCTATACACCCCACACTTAGATTCAAGATTTTACTCCTCTTGAAGCATATAGCATGTTCATACTAGTGAAAACAATCTATAAGTTTAATGCAATTCCTATTAAAATACCAATAACATATTTCATAGATTTAGAACAAATATTCCAAAAATTTATATGGAACCAAAAAAGACCCCAAGTAGCCTCAGCAATCTTAAGAAAGAAGAACAAAGTTGGAGGTATGACAATTCCCAATACCAAACTATACTACAAGGCCACTGTAATCAGAACAGCCTGGTACTGGCATAAGAACAAGCATATAGATCAAAGAAAAAGAACAAAGAATCCAGAAATCAGCCCATGTCTTTATGATCAATTAATATTTGACAAGAGAGTCAAGAACATACAGTAAAGACAGTCTCTTCAATAAATGGCATTGGGAAAACTGGACTGGTACATGCCAAAAAAATGAAACTAGGCCACCAACTTACACCATACACAAGGATAAACTCAAAATGGATAAAAAGACTTAAATGTAAGTCACAAAACCATAAACATTCTAGACAAAAACATAGGCAGTAATATAATAAGACATTCTCATAGCAATATGTTTGCCAATACGTCTCCTGGGGGGAGGGAAATTAAAAAAATAAACAAATGGGACAATATCAAACTAAAAAGCTTCTGCACAGCAAAAGCAGCCATCTACAAAATGAAAAGGGAATCCACTCTATGGGGAGAACATATTTGCCAATGACATATCTGATAAGGGGATAATGTCAAAATTTATAAAGAACTCATATTACTTAATACCAAAAACACAAAAACAACCCAATTAAAAAATGAATGGGCAAGGGACCTGACTAGATACTTCTCCAAAGAGGGCATATAAATGGCCAATAAACATGACAAAGTGGTCAACATCACTAATCATCAGAGAAATGCAAATTAAAACCACCATGAGATATAACTACATGCCTGCCAGAATGGCTATCATCAATAAATCAACAAACAGTAAGTAAGTGCTGGCAAGGATGTGGAGAACAGGTAACCCTAGTGTACTATTTGTGAGAACGCAGACTGGTGCAGCCACTGTGGAAAACAGTATGGAGTTTCCTCAAAAAATTAAAAATGGAACTGCCTTTCAACCCAGCAATCCCACTTCTGGAAATATATCCTAAGATGGTGATGATAATAATAATAATAAATAATTTTTTAAAATTTAAAAAGAAAAAGGATTTCACCACTTTTACTTCATCTACCTCCTTTTCACTTTTCATTTCAAGATTTAAAATTCACTTAAAAGTTTCTACTTTCAATATTTTAAAGCAAATTCAAGACATTATGTCATTCCACCTCTGTTTTCTAGCTTCCCAGCCTTTTTTTTTTCTTCAATAATCACTTCCTGTTGTGTTATATATTCATTTAATGTTTGTATTCTCCAAGAAGGCAGGGTTTTGACAGTCTTCTTCACTTCTTTATCCCAGTGGATGCTCAATAAATATTGATTTGAGATGAGGGGTAGCTGCTGCTGTCCTCATTTACTGGATGAACACTGATTACCTTTCAGGCTTATGCCTCGGCATCACTTATTCCATGAAGACTTTCCTAATGCATGTCTCCCCCTCCAACTTTTACCAAGCAGAATTAATTATTCCTATATTGGTTCTCCTGTGGGTTTTGGATATGATTCTACTGTGGCTGCTAGAAACTTATGTGCAAATATTAACAGTTAGTTTACCTACCTGATTCTAAGAGCAGGGACCCTGTCATACTCATCCCGACAAAGTCCTGGCACATAGTAAGTCCATGGTGTTTCTCAAATAGACTTGCTCTGTCTTCCCTCACTAATTGCTTCTCTTTCCACCAGACAGTCTTAGTGAAGACCTTGAGTTGATTCTTTTCCCCAAGTAGCCTCAACTACTGTACAGTGTGTGAGTCTGGCTTGCACTGTGGATTTTTAGATGCAATGCTAGACTCTAAAATAATTAAATACAAAATATTCTATCTCAAAAGATAATAGTTGTTACATAGCTTAATTCAAAGAATATAGTAAATCTAGATAACTTTTTTAACTCAGCACTGAGCCTATGATGAACCCCAATTTACATACAGAAGAATGAGGCCCATGTGCCTAAGTATATGGTCCAAGGATAGATAACTAATACAAAGCAATGCTGGGACTGAACCTAGTTCTGGCTTTGTGGAGCTCCAGGGTCAAGAATGGAAAGAGAATTATATGTAATATTCTATGCTTTGTGCATACCACATTTTATCTGTCCTGTTGATGAACATTTGGATTGGTTCTAGGTTTTGGCTATTACAAATAATGTTTGCTGAGCACATGCTTCTACCCATCTTCTGTGACCTGTGTATGTATCTCTCCCTCATTACTTCAGCAGGCATGCTTATAGAGCAGAAGTACTTTGGACTTATAATTAATGTGCTAACGAAAATTTTGAGTGAGGGGGAGTGTACCAT